TTTACTGAGCTATACAATGCTTTATGCACCCTAATATATCACAAATAAGCCTATCAAAATATACCTTTATAACAGATTCATAAAAACGCTTTTATAACAATATCCTGAAAGCATACTGAGTTGTTTTTTTTTTTAAAGATTTATTTTTATTTATTTATACAAGCACTGGGTACAGTCAGAAGCACGGGAAGGTGAGAGAATTCACCAGAGCCAGAGCGGGGAGCAGAGCAGGCAGACTGAAGTGCGCTGCTAAGGGGAGCAGCGGGCAGCAGGAGAGGTCTGCACGCCTTGTGGGACCCTCCTCCGGTGGCCGGGGAGCAGCTGGGGATCGAACCGGCGCTGCAGAGGCTGCGGGCAGCTTCGCAACCCAGCGCTCAACCACTGCGCCACCGGGGAGGCCCCATACTCAGAGTTTTAAATTACCAGCACTTTAAATTACCAAATACTTCTGATTGAGAAGATTACCTTGGGAACTAGTACAAAGCCTGAGGAAGTGACAGAAGGGCAGGTCAGCTCAGCTGCTATTCCCCTCAGCAGCGTATTTCAGTAGATCTGCCTATTCTGCTCCCCACTGTGTCTCTGGTGAATCCTGTCAATCCCCACACCTCTGGCCTGCACCCCAGTTCTTGTATCTTGTATGCATAAATAAATATAAATAAATCTTTATTCTCTCTCTCAATTATTTACCTACCCAAAGACCCTCCGCTCTAATGCAATTCTTGGCAGGATAAACTGAGATGCTGAGAGGTTGACTGGCTTCACCAAGTCACCCAAGTGGGAGGGAGAAGCTGAGCCTTGAGCAGGGGTCTTGAGCCCATGGAGCTGCTCTGTCACTGGGTTCTGGTATCATCTGAACTAACCACAACTGAATGTACAACCCTTCTCCCCTCCTCCCCCAGCCTTCAGAAAACTGCTGAAAAGACTTGCTTTCCATTTGTTGGGTTGTTTATGAGTGGGTGCTAACTTCAAATGAAGGTGTTCACCCAAACTATCCTGAGGCATAGAGAGGCATGAGACAGACTTAGATCCAAACTGCCTAATTTAGGTTGATCTGTTTCTGTATCTTACTAGTTTGACAACTGTTTGCTTTAAAAGAAGTATGAATGATTTTCTCCCACCCCCTAAAAAAAGGTTAAACTGGAAATCATCCCAGATTACCAAATATCTATAGTAAATAAAGGAAGATACTTTAATATTTTCTTGGAAAGTAAAATAAAATGCAGCCCATATTCAACATGTCCATAGAGCTGCTGACATCTAGTGGTCAATGAGCATTTGACATGATCCACACCCCCATTTTTTCCAGAGATATTTTCATCATATAATAAAGTTAAGAATACTGGGTCTCCCTGGTGGAGCAAGAGGTTAAGCACCGCACTATGAAGCAATCCGCAGCCTTTGCAGCATGAGTTCGATCCCTGGCCAGCCAGGGAGCAACCCACATGGTGTAGCAGACCTCTCCTGACTCGCCCGCTGCTCCCCTCAGCAGTGTATTTCAGTTAGTCTGCCTGTTCTGTTTCCCACTCAGTCTCTGGTGAATCCTCTCACCCCCTATGTCTCTGGCCTGTACTCCAGCTCTTGTATGCATAAATAAATAAATCTTTAAAAAAAAAAATAATGTTGAGAATACTTGGCCAGTTTCCCAAAAAAAGTTTCATGTCCAAGAAATACCTTTAGGTGCCAAGATGGTGGATCAGGGAGAACTCCTGCATCCCGCCTCCCCCATCACAACAGATCTGCGTCCAAGTATGGACTAATTTTAAACTGAAGCAGACCCGAAACCAGACAAGTGCAGTTTCCACAACAAAGCATAAAAAGGCAGCACCCAGAGGGACAGGCATTACAGAAAGGCTCCCGCTAAGGGAAGGCACCGTATCACCAGGGTGACGAGGCACATTCGAAAAGAGATCTCTAAGGTGCGGGGCTTTTCCCTAGAGAGTAGGTAGTAGGGAGGGGAGGGTTGAGCCTAATACCTTGCACCCCAACTCTATAATCCAGAATAGCAGAGATGACCCCTGGAGCCCCTGAATTAAGGGCCAGAGGGAAGTGAGAATAAGAAAGCTGGGGAGAAAGTGGAGATTAACACCTGACCCTAAATAGACCCAGGAGCAGATACACTTGCCCTGGGAGCTAAAGCAACAAGGCCCGTCAGAACAACACCCAACACGTGGGAGTAGGAATCCCAGATACTATCCCTCCAGCAGGTTCCTGGGCAGCAAAGTACACTAGAGAATAAACCAGGTTTGGAGGCACTGGTAGCCCCATCTTGGCACTCTCTCACCACCTAGCTATCAATAGGATGAGCGGGTGTCCCCTTGGAACCCACTACTACTATACCCCAAGGGCAAATCCCTGATGGGAACTCTACCTGGCTAGCTGAGGGTCGAGACAACAATTGAGAGGGTCTACTCCTGGCAGACAGGTAGGCAAGGCCCTACCACCTGCTTGCCAGCTACCTAGTAGGGCTCCCACGGCCAGCAAGCACCCTGTGGAGCTTCCACAACCAGCTCACAAGCAAATCCCACTGCATCCTACATCCCCTCTCAGCCCAGGTGTGCCAGCCCCTGTCCACTGCAGCCCCCATATGTACCCTGTAAGGCCCCATACGGAGCTTCTCTAATAGCCCCAGTCTTGCTCAACACCAAGATCCAACGCCATGCCACCCTACCCCATTTGCTATGTGCCATGCCAGAGTCCCAGGCCTCACTGGCCACAGGCCTCTCTGCCCATGCAGCCTCGCCCCTTCAGCCTCCACAGCCTTGCAGGGCACCAAATGTTGCTGTGCCTGTAGCGTTGACCCCAGGCTGCACATGGCCCATAACCTCGAGCAGCACTGGAGCCAGTCACCAAGCCCTACAAGCACTGACTGCAGGTACCATGGCCAACAACCCAGCAGGCCCAGCACACCTATTGCAACCGGGCTGGCTAACTGAGGACCAAGCCTCCAGCACCTCGCTGCCCTTATGACACCATGGACTGCTGCTGGCATCACACTGCTGCAGGCCCAGTGATCACCAATGCAGCAGAGAGCCTAGATACACTGGCACACATCATAAGGCAATCCCAGCCAACCACATGCCAAGACTGGACCCAAAATACCACCCACAGAGCACACGTTAGTCCAGGGTCAAGGCCAAACCCAACAAAAGAGTCATTGCTTGGCAGGACTGACAGCCCTACACACAGTGCTGTCCCAACACAACGGGCAGGTGGGTGGAGCCTGGTGCAACTAAATCAGGACACCATGGAGACAGTGCTCCAAATGACACGAGGCATCACCTGCATAAGACCAAGCCCTCATGGGCCTCCCTCGTGGCACAGGGGTTAAGGTCTCAGTGTTATTAAGCTATTGCCAGCAACTGTGGCATGAGTTCGATCCCTGGCTAGGGAGGTGACCCACATGGTGCAGTAGAGTGCAGTAGCACTCTCCTGTCTCGCCCACTGCTCCCCTCAGCAGTGTATTTCAGTAGATCTGCCTGTTCTGCGCTCCATTCTGTCTCTGGTGAATCCTCTCACCTCCCACAACTCTGGCCTACACTCCAGTTCTTGTATGCATAAACAAATAAAAATAAATCTTAAAAAAAAAAAGCCAAACCCTGAGTACTAGAATAGGTAGTAGTGCTTCCTAAAAGCTAGAAGTAAACACAGAGAACCAGGCAAAATGGGTAAACAGAAGAACATGCCCCATATGAAAGAGCACCACACTCTGTAAAATGACCCTAAATGAGTAGAATTAAGCAAACTACCTGAAGAGGAATTCAAAATAATGGTTATAGGGCCTCCCCGGTGGCGCAGCGGTTGAGCGCTGGGTTGCGAGGCTGCCCGCAGTCTCTGCGGCGCCGGTTCGATCCCCGGCTGCTCCCCGGCCACCGGAGGAGGGTCCCGCATGGCGCGCAGACCTCTCCTGCCGCCCGCTGCTCCCCTCAGCAGTGTACCTCGGTCCTTCTGCCTGCTCTGCTCCCCGCTCTGGCTCTGGTGAATTCTCTCACCCTCCCGCGCTTCTGACTGTACCCAGTGCATGTGCAAACGAACAAATAAATAAATAAATAAATAAATAAAATACATGCCTCTTTAAAAAAAAAAAAAAAAAGGTATTTAAAAAAAAAAACAAAAAACAAAATAATGGTTATAAACTTGCTCACTAGTCTAAGGAAATGAATGAACTGGAAAAACTAAGGACCCTCTAAGCAGTAGCCATAGAGCTGAAGAAGACAATAATAGAACTGAAAAATACAATACAGGGGGTTCAACAATAGATTGGATAAAGCAGAGGAACAGATAAGTGAGTTGGAAGACAGAGCAATAGAAAACACCCAGATAGGGCCTCTCTGATGGGGCAAGGGGTTAAGTCTCAACACAATGAAGCTATCGCCAGACATTGCAGCAGCAGTTCGATCCCCAGCCAGGGAGGTGACCCACATGGCGCAGCAGACCTCTCCTGTCTCGCCCGCTGCTCCCCTCAGCAGTGTGTTTCAGTAGATCTGCCTATTCTGCTCCCCACTCTGTCTCTGGTGAATCCTCTCACCCTCCCACACCTCTGGCCTATACCCCAGTTCTTGTATAAATAAAAATAAACGACAAAACCTCAGAGTTAGTGGGAGATATATGAAAACAAGAGCATGAAATAGAGCATGGGTAAGCCCTCAGACTGTCAGCTACTATGGACAGATAAGCAACAATGCTCCTCTGCCTCAGGCACGAATTTGAAGAAAGGCTGTTACGTGCACACTGACATTGGAAAAGTGATAGGAAAATTGGGTCACAGGAAAGAGCAGGATTACTAACATCAGGTGGTTGTCTATACCAAGGATGTAAAGATGTTTATGTTTGTCTTTAAAGCACTCATCTTTGAAAGACCAAGGAAAGAAAAAAAAAAAAGAGCCCCCAAACAAAAGTCTCCAAGGCAGAAGAGAAAAAGTAAATCTTTCCTAATGTATGCTATACAATCTACTCTAAGTTAATGTCAAGGTGCAAAAGAAATTCTGGACTGCGACAAACACCTGATTCCTGTGTGACAAGGTGTACACGGCATCGGGGAGTGCTCCCTCTTCTTTGCGGGCACTGACAGTCCCCAAGTCCTTGTAGCTGGAAGACAGGTGTGTATCGGAGTCCTCCTCCTCCCTGTAGCCCAGTGTCTCAAAGGATGGCAAAGAGTTTCTTCTTCCTGCCTTGCTCTGCCAATTCGGTCTGTGTTAGAACATTGAAGAATAACATAAGTCTCCAGGCCATTTAACACATCACATTGGTATAGATCCACGTATTCAATGTGCTGCCTCCATCTCTCAGTCCTCACCCTGATCAGATCACAGCTACGTTACAAAATATACAAATGCTGAAAGATGAAACTACTGCTGTCCCATCTCTGTACACTCTCAGCATCTCTTTCTAGGATTTTTACCTAGGTTTTTAGAGTTATTTTCACCATACACACACACACACACACACACACACACACACACACACACACACACACATTGCTTGCCTTGTTATTAGCAAGTTTTTACAGTCAACATTGTAAAAGTTAAGACTTAAGTCAGTCATTAGGTCCCCCCACCATCACCCCTAATTTTCAGTTATATTGGGTTGTCAGAAAAGTCATGATGTACTTAAAAACAGAAAAAATGTGTCATGACTTTCTGACAACCCAGTAAAAAATCTTGTAATGACTTCCACGTACAGAAAATCTCTGTATTTAGAATTAGTCCTATGAAACACACACCCAGATGGCAAACTGTAGAGTCAAATGCCATCAACACTTTGAGTGTCTGCATGGGCACCACACAAAAACACCTGACAAGTCCTTTCCCCAACCTATGACGTTGAGAATAGTTTTCTAAAACTTCCAGAAGAGGTTAAACCTTACTGTGTGTATTTGCATTTCTTACTGAGACGGAATGTTTTTCCATATATTTGTATGGAATCTGATCCTCTGTTATGAACTGCCTATACCCTGTGTCCATTTATCTATTTCCCTTTTAGTATTTCTATTCCAGTTTGAAATTAACCTTTGATCTACTAAAATGAAAATCCCCACCTGTATTTACTGTATTTTTGATCTCATTAATTTTATTTGGGCTATGTAAATTTCCTTAACCTAGAGGATAAGAAAAACAATTTTTTAACTTTTTAAATTCTGAGCTGAGAATAGCAGTCCAATTCCTCCGGAGTTTTGATAAGACTGGACATTGGATTTCTCCGTCTTATTTATGTGTATATACAGATTAATCTTTTTATTCATTATTGTTGGTATGTGAACTAGGCAAGGCCCAAAGTCGTTTTTTCCCCTAGTACTGCTCATTAATATACTGTTGAATCCTTTCCTTCCCCTTTGATCTGCGGGGCTGCCTTTACTAAAGACTCAATACTCTTGCAAACAGTAGTTCGGCCTTGGGAAACTTGCCTGCGCCTCTCTCATAAACCAGTCCTATTCTAGTTTAACTACTTCATGTTTAAATATACTTTAGGACTGTGTGCCTCTCCCTGGGGCCAGTCTTCTTCCTTCCCAGATTTCCTGATGATCTGTCTGATCTGATCACGCTTCCCAATGAATTTTAGAACTATTTCCTCATTGTTAGCTCTTACTCAGCCAAAGTATAAATTCTTACCTTGAGAAAAACAGGCTCTGTTAAAATATCTCAATATAGAATCAAGATTAAAATGTACAAAAGCAAAAATATGAACACATCCAAGAAGGACATACATGAGCATTTCTACAAGGTCTTTCTAGATTTGACAGAAACCACAAAGACTGATAGGTCTTATTACATAAAAAGTACAGAATATCTGACGTGTAAAAAATCCAAAACACCAAATTGAGGGCCTCCCTGGTGGCCTAGGGGTTAAGTCTTAGTGCTCCCACCACAAAGGGCCACCATGATGGCCTGAGTTCAATCCCTGGCCAGGGAGGTCACCCACATGGCACAGCAGACCTCTCCTGTCTTGTCCTCTACTACCCTCAGCAGTGTATTTCAATGAATCCACATGTTCTGCTCCTCACTCTATCTCTGGTGAATCCTCTCACGCTCTCCCCCCACCCCTTCCCCGCCTTCCTCTGGTCAACATCACAGTTCTTCCATGCAAAAATAAATAAAATCTTTAAAAAAACAAGTAAGGGCCTCCCTGGTGGCACAAGGGGTTAAGACGCAACCTATGAAGCTATCCGCAGCCACTGCAGCACAAGTTTGATCCCCAGCCGGCCAGGGAGCAACCCACATGGTGCAGCAGACCTCTCCTGACTCCCCCACTGCTCCCTTCAGCAGTGTATTTCAGTAGATCTGCCTGTTCTGTTCCCCACTCTGTCTCTGGTAATTCCTCTCAACCTCCACACCTCTGGCCTGTACCCCAGTTCTTGTATGCATAAATAAATAAATCTTTAAAAAAAAAAAAAAGTAAAAAAAAGGACCTACCTACTGAAAGCTGTGTATATTTTCTTTTTTTAGATTTATTTTCTTTTTATACAAGAACTGGGGTACAGTTAGAGGCACGGGAGGGTGAGAGAATTCACCAGAGACAGAGTGGGGAGCAGAACAGGCAGACAGACTGAAGACACTGCTGAGGGGAGCAGTGGGTGAGGCAGGAGAGGTCTGCCGCGCCATGTGGGTTTCTCCCTGGCCGGCCGGGAATTGAACCCACACTGCAGAGGCTGCAGACAGCTTCACAGCACAGCACTCAACCCACTGCGCCACCAGGGAGGCCCTGAAAGCTGTACATATTAAACAAAACAAAACAACACAAAATTGAGTACATACAACAGATAAAAGGCAAACTTAGTCCTGTATCCCTCACACCCCTACAGCTCTCAGGCCCTCAGTGTCTTCCTATGCTCCTAGGGGACACAACAAACCCGAAACAGGACCCCTCGGGCATCACAGCCTGAGCCCACTCCTCCAGTCTTGACTCAAATAACTTCCAAGCTGCCAGCCACAAACATCCTCTCTCAGAGGCTCAGCGCTCACCTCTGACCCTCCCTACAACCCTCCTGCCCTCCCAGCTGGTTCCTCCCAGCTTCCCTTAGCTCTTTCAATCTTCTCCTCCTCAGGAGGAAACCTCCCTGCCCCCCAGGGCTGCATCAGCTCCAGCCCAGCACAGGCAATGGAGGAAATGATGCCAAATGCGAAAGAGGGTTACAGGGTAGGTGCCAGCAAGGTGAGGTCACATGAACATTCAGAGAGGAGGCCCACAAGAAGCAGTGATTGCAATGCTCGCTCTCCGGACTGTGGCACCCAGAACACGGGATTCACTGACTGTGCTGTGAGAAGACCTGTGCCTTCTAGGCCAGAATTTAACATGAGCCATTCTAGAGAAGATTCTGACCCAGCGAAGAGCAATTTGTGTCAGGGCAGTGTCCCTGTAACATTGTTGGTGAGAGCCTGAATAGTGAGCTGCAGTGATAGCCGCATGCACATGTGTCTGTACACACACACACACACACACACACACACACACACACACTCACTCACAGCTGTACACAGACACACTCACACCTGTACACACATGCACACTCACACCTGTACACACATGCGCGCATGCTCAGCATGCACAACCCTGCCCTGGGAGGAAGCAGAGCCCGTGATCCGGTCCTTACTGAGGTCGCAGCTCCGAGATGGTGGCATAGGGCTCGATGAAACTGTCCTTGTCGACGAAGGTCGTGTCACTCTCGGACAGGGACCTTTGGCGAGGCTGGGGAATGGCGACAGTCCGGCCAGTCAGTGTTGTTGCCAGAATGGCTGCAGCCAGAGCTGATCTGGGGACAAAAACTCAGTGAGATGATGAGACACAGATCTTCCAACGGGAGACTGAGCCACAGGGACACACACCCCCCAACCACTGCCAGTCACCTTCTGTTTCACAGTGCTGGCACCTCTCCAGAGCACAGTCTGCCAGCACCCACCCAGCCCCATGCGGGTTAAGAGCTTAAGTCTCAAGCACTCTCATGCTATCACCTCTATGGCCTGAGTTCAATCCCCGGCCAGGGAGCTGACCCACATGGCACAGCAGAACTCTCCTGTTTCCTTGCTGCTCCCCTCAGCAGTGTATTTCAGTAGACCCATCTGTTTTGCTCCCCACTCTGTCTCTGGTGAATCCTCTCACACTCTGCACCTCTGGCCTATACCCCAGCTCTTGTATGCATAAATAAATAAAAATAAATCATTAAAAAATGTTTAAAACAAAGAAGAAGTTAAATGGATTGCCCAATATTTCCTAGCTAATAGGAAGTGAAGCCAGCTCTTCCATCTAGTCTGTATTCAAGTTTTCCTACTAAAGTGAGTATCAGAAGTGGGGGGGGGGGGTTTAGGGGGGAGTAAGGAGACATAAAAGAATGTAAAAGTCTTTAATAGCCACTTTAAAAACAATACCTGTCCATACACAGTTGTCCTGAAAGCATAATGAAGACAAAGATCCGCCGCAAAAACTCTATACGTTGATAGCTATGAACTAATGTCTGGTTGTTAAAGTCACAAACACACACACTAAACCAAGTGTTGGTGAGGATAAGAAGAAAATGAAACTCATATGCTGCTGGACATAACTGGAATAACGACTTAGGCAAATAGTTTGGCAATTTCCTAATAAGTTAAAAATAGACCCAGCATGTGACCCACGTATTCTACTCCTAGGTGTTTACCCAAGAGAAATGAAAGCCTAGGTCCAAACAGACTTGTGCACAAGTGTTCTTAGCAGTTTTATTTCTAGTAGCCAAAAACTGGAAGCAACCCAAATATCCATGAATAGGTGAATAGGTAAACTGTGGCATATTCATATCATGGAATAACTACTAATGACAAAAAGCATGAATGGGGCCTCCCTGGAGGTGCAGGCAGTTGAGCGCAGCACTGTGAAGCTGTCCGCAGCCTTTGCAGTGCCGGTTCGATCCCCGCCGGCCATGGAGCAACCCACAAGGCGTGGCAGACCTCTCCTGTCTCGCCCGCTGCTCCCCTCAGCAGTGTATTTCGGTCGTCTGCCTGTTCTATTTCCACTCTCTCTGGTGAAACCTCTCACCCTCTCATACCTCTGGCCTGTACCCCGGTTCTTGTATAAATAAAATAAAAATAAATCTTAAAAAAAAAACACCATGAATGACTGATTTTTATAACATGGATAAATCTTATTAGGTAAGTGAAAGAAGCTAGCATAATTTCATAATTATTGTGTGTAATTCCATTTATATAAATTCTAGGAAAATGCATAATGACAGAAAGTAACCTCCTGGGGATGGGGTGAGGGTGGCTTGAGCAGAGGAGGGTGGGAAGTAGGAGAGGGGGCAGCAGGGAGAATTACAAAGGGGCAATGAGGAAACTTCTGGGGATGCTGGATATATTTATTATCTTTTTTAAAAAGATTTATTTATTTATTTATTTATTTATTTATTTATGCAAGAGCTGGGACACAGGCCAGGGGGTGAGAGGATTCACCAGAGACAGAGTAGGGAACAGAACAGGCAGATTGACTGAAATTCACTGCTGAGGGGAGCAATGGGTAAAACAGGAGAGGTCTGCTGTGCCATGTGGGTAGCTCCTTGGCCAGCCGGGGATCAAACTCGTGCTGCAGAGGCTGCGGATTGCTTCACAGTTTGATGCTTAATCCCTTGCACCATCAGGGAGGCCCATAGTTATATTTATTATCTTAATTGTGGCAATGGCTTCACAGGTGTAAACACATGTCAAGATTTAACCAAATTATGCATTTTAAATATGTACAGTTCAAGGTACACCCATTTTATTTTAACAAAATTGTTTTTAAAAAATTAAAATAAGGGGCCTCCCGGGTGGTGCAGCAGTTGAGCGCTGGGTTGCGAAGCTGCCTGCAGCTTCTGCAGCGCCAGTTCGATCCCCGGCCGCCAGGCGAGGGTCCCACATGGCGCGCAGAACTCTTCTGCCACCTGCTGATCCCCTCAGCAGTGTATTTCATCAGTCTGTTCTGTTCCCCCGCTCTGACTCTGGTGAATTCTCTCACCCTCCCGCACTTCTGACTGTACCCAGTGCTTGTATAAATAAATAAATAAATCTTTTAAAAAATTTAAAAATAAATTAAAAATTAAAAAAAAACCGCCTAAAGCAAAAACAGTAACAACCTATTATGGGGTTTACAACATGTAAAATTAAAATACATGACAACAGTAACACAAAAGATGGGAAGGAGGAAACAAATAAATCACTTGAAGATTCTTACCCTGTCACATGACAGGTGAAGTAAAATAACATCAAAGGTTAATGTGAGTGTTGCTTTTAAAAAACAACATTCAAAAAATTATCTAGAAACATGCCAAATTTGCCAAAGCCATATTGGTTATTTTGGGCTTACAAAGACTGCAATCCAGGGAAGTATTTTTAATATATATTTATTTTCTTACATCACTGTTCATTTTTGGACAGTACTTGATGTCCCCCCTCAGGTGTGTTAGTCCCTGTAGTTCCCCCATTGCATCACCCGTGAAGCGTCATCACAGGCCCTTTTACTCTTTCCTCCCCTGTTTTGACCCTTGCTCCCCTCCAGGGAGGTAATTTTTAAAGCGCAGGGACTATAGAGACGTGCTAAGAAGTCTACAGGATGCCAGCCACGAAATGCCACGTGGCCATTTCCTGCTTTAGAATGTTAAGGCGAGGGGTCTCCCTGGTGGCGCAAGGGGTTAAGCACCGCACTATGAAGCAATCCGCAGCCTCTGCAGCACGAGTTTGATCCCCGGCCAGCCAGGAAGCAACCCACATGGTGCAGCAGACCTCCTGTCTGGCCTGCTGCTCCACTCAGCAGTGTATTACATTCAGTCTGCCTGTTCTGGTCCCCACTCTGTCTCTGGTGAATCCTCTCACCCCCTGCGCCTCTGGCCTGTACTCCAGCTCTTATATGCGTAGATGAATAAATCTTTAAAAAAAAAAAAAAAAGAGAGAGAATGTAAAGTAGCCTCAGCATGACATGGCTGCTGCTACCACATAAACATTTAAGTCCCAGTGACACAGCTTAAGGGCTGTTCACACAAACCCTGAAGAACGAGACAGACCCTCTGCTGGCCAGCTGGGAGATCCTGGGCCTGTGACTAACACCTCAACTCATACTGGCGATGCTCCAGGACTTGTTGTCGTTGATAGAAGGAAATTGTGAGTGGTTCTGAAGCACTTACCGGAGTTCTTGGAACAATAAAAGGCTACTCTTGCTATCAAGATTACACTGAAGGAAAAGCAAATACTAAAAATATTTCAAAGTGGTTTTTTTTTCCAATCAGGAGACATATAATATTCCAGTTTCAGAGAACGCTAAGAGGAAGATACCATGCTTGGATGAAATTAGTTCTTGTTAATCCATTAATAGCCAAGCCTTGTATCCAAGTATTTATAGAGAAAAATAGTCCAGAATTCCCCCGTGTCTAAAAAACCCAGCAGGGGTCTGAAAGAAAGCCCTTACTCTGCTGTGTCAGGAGCCCCCAGGATGGGGAATCCCAGATGCCTTCCTTCCTGCAAAGTAGTTCTTTGCAGGCTTGTGTTTAAAAAGGAAATGATGGGCACAGCTCAAATTCCTTTTAACATACTGCCCACTGAAATTACTGGACTTCAATGCTTTATATCTGGAGAGATACTAACTGCATTCAACTATGAAATGCAAGAGCGCCACACACCTGAAACGTACTTAGCTGTTCTATGATAAATGTTTCACAGGACACGAATCTAATTGTCTAATGTGTGATTTTCTTTTCTTTTTTTTTTTTTAAAGATTTATTTTTTTTTATTTATACAAGCACTGGGTACAGTCAGAAGCGCAGGAGGGTGAGAGAATTCACCAGAGACAGAGTGGGGAGCAGAGCAGGCAGACCAGCGAAATACACTGCTGAGGGGAGCAGTGGGCATGGCAGGAGAGGTCTGCGTGCCATGTGGGACCCTCACTGGGGGCCGGGGATCGAACCTCACAGCCCAGCGCTCAACCACGGCGCCACCAGGGGAGGCCCTAATCTGTGATTTTCTTGTCGGTTTAAAGAGCTCTAGGACTAGTGCTCAGTGGAGCACAGCAGTGACCTCAGTGCCTGCTCACCTGAGACTCACCTTGGTCTCTCTGGAGAGGGATTAGGGCTGCGGGGAGGTGGTGTGCGGGGCACAGCTGGCTTCGGGGCGATGCTGGCTGCAGGAATAAGGCCATGGGCGATATGTTTCTGCACAAATGAATGAAAGTCAGGAGTCACTGGTGTAGGGGATCACCCAGGTCCTGACACCACCCCTCCCTGGGCCAGGCAGAGGATGTCTGCACTGGTTACTCGGGGATCCAGCCCCACAGGAGGCCCGCTCACCCCCTTTCAGTCAGGTACGCACGTCCATAGAGTCCATTCCATCTCATCCTTCTCACTGGCCTTCCAAGTCACCCTCTACTTGTCTCATGGCACTGCCTGCCCCCATAGCACTACTCACTGGCAACCCCCTGTCATGGACACTTCCTGGAGCTGGCAACCTTTTTGTCTTTATCAACCTGGAACTCCAGCACTAGTACCTTGCCCGACACCTGGGAGGGGCTAAAAAAAGAAGTCAGGTAGTTTAGCTCACAGAGGGAGAGTGTCAAGACGAGTTGATACAGACTCCCCCACACAGTGGAAGCCAGAGAGCTCTGCCTTAGGCAACTGGGGGTCTCTCAGAAGTTTCTGAATGCAGCCCAGTCTTCATTCCTATGTGCCTGTCACACATTCACACCTACTGGTGAAACAGGGCACAGATGAGGGGAATGGCACAGTTTGTGGGTTCTCACTCATGCACTCATAACTAACTGCAAGACATGGCTCAATCTCAGGGTGCAACAACAGGGTTTATTTCCAAAGGGGAGACTGAGCTGAAGAAAGAGCTTCTAAGCCCACAGTGGCCGGCTGGGCTACCCCAGATAGTGCCCAGTGTCCGGTCGTCCAAACACAAGCTGCCCATGCAAGATGGTGTCATCCCTCAATGGGAGCCCAGGGCTGGTAGGACACTGATATTTGGTGGACCGGGACCTCGCTAATCCAGGTAGTCACAGGTAACACTGCTGAGATGGCAGCCATGCGAAGCTGGGCTGGGCAGTGCCAGATGCCAGAGCTGTCAGCACTCAGGTGGTGCTAGAGGACCATGGCATCAGTATTTACAGCTCTTTAGAGATGCCGGGCATAGGCCAGTGGCACTCCCAATGGATGCAGCTGAAGCAAACGTCTCAAGGGTACAAGTCAAAGGTCTTCTCAGGAAAGAATCAAGTCAAGTTTCCTCCTGAAGCCTCTTCCAAGCTGAGTCAAATCTCCTTGCCTCTCTGGAGACTCTGCTTATATCCCCCATCAGGGCCCCATCTGGTGGGTCCATTTTCCAAACCAGATGTCTCCAAGACTTGATAGGTGCGGGTACAGCTCAGGATTCAAAACCAAAGCCCCAGTCGTGCACCCAATCTACCCTGTGTGTTCTGCACGGAGCTGGGCGGGTGAGCACGCTACATCTTAAAGACGCCAACCACGCTCAAATCTGACCTGCGTATCTCCATGGCTGTGGATTATTTCTCTTACTTTTTCTAAAACCCAAACCTGGCTACACCAGTGTCGGCCATCAAGCCCAGTTGCCGTGGTGTAGCCCAGGCTGCTGGTGCTGCTCAGCTTGGGGCCCAGGGCCTTCAGAGAACCAGAGCTATGAGGGCACCTCTTACACTGGGAGCAAGACACCCTGACCGCAAAGAAGAAATCTCATCCCTCATGCTCAAGGACAGAGGGTACAAAGGAAAAACACCCAAATACTTATTATCTAACCCAGAACTATGGAAAGTGCTGAGGGAGAGGTGAAGACAACGTGCTGGAGGAGGATCCCCTCAGGCCTGGGTCTTCAAAGACAGCCATCTTTGGGAAATGTGATGGAAAAGCACTCTAGGAAAACGGAACAGCATGAATAAAGGGATGACGCAAGCCATTAGCGGCAGTGTTCTGGAAATAACAAGTACTCTTTTTGCTGGAAATAGAGGCAACTGGGAGGGAGAGGCAAGAACTATGGGTTGGTGGTAAGAGTAAGGATTACTTCCAATTGAAGAGTTTGGACCTCAGGCTAAGGACATGCTGTATCCACTAAAACTGCCCCTGGAAAGCTTAACCAGGCAGGACAGGGGAGAGAGGTGAGAACCACCAACGGGAAGGGCCAGGGTCTGGAAAACACTCAGGAACGAGGGATGGGCAGACCTTCCAAATGTCTCATGCACCTCCCACCCCAGTTCCGCCTGTACGGGCAACCCAAGAAATAGTATTCCAGAACAGTCCTGCCTAGCCCTTGATTCCCTGTGCACCCCTCTGTGTGGTACCCATCAACTACATTTGTCAAGCAATTTGACAGTTTACATGTCTGCCTCCTCCTCTACTCTCCACCACCCAGGAGATGCTAAGACAAGAAAGGGGTTTCTTGGGCTTTGAATCTCCATGGGGCTAGTATCCAACAGTCCTCCCAAAAGGCATCATAAGTTTTGTTCTGTTTTTGGACCGCGTGATCCCCCACAGTATGCCAAACACTTCTCACTTGTGCCACTAAGATCATTTCCTTACTGATCATTTCCTAGGGGTCCCCCTGCCTCTGTAAAACACCGGGGGAGCCTGTGTCCACCCAGCCCCACAATTCTCAGGGGCAGCCCCATACTCTTGATGACAAGAATGATCTAGCTTGGCACAAAAGGCCAATGGACCCACCAATGGACGCTAATTCAGTTTTTGCTATCCTTCCTGGTCCCTACACAGTCTTGATGCTTTATACTCAGAATTGCCTTCCCTTTCCCACGTAGCAAAGAATTCATTCTTCTCCATCTAGAATGTGCTTTCTTTATCCCCTTCCCCACCCCAAGGCCCAGGTCAACTCTCCTGACTGACTTTGCTGCCCCTCCCCTGGTACACACCTCTACAGTTCTGGCCTGCTTATTTCACGCTGAATCACTTGTGGGTTTTTCTGTTCTTTAGACAGTGTGGTCATGAGCTGTCCATCAGCTGTGGTGGAGCCCTGCCATATGAATGTTATTTGGGGGGTAGAATCTCAGGAACTGCTGGTGGGTGTATGGGCTAAGAGGCGGCGGAAGGAATCAAAATGACTTCCCGCTTGGCGGGTATCCTGCAGTGGAGCAGGATTGTGTGGCCAGCAGTGAACTCCCCCACACCAGAGCAAAACGTTGCAGGAGGGACAGGGCGATTCCTGTCCAACTGAGGCCGGCCGACCTGGGCGAGCGGATTACTTAAATTCGAAACATCGAGCTTCTCTAACGGAAAACCATTCCCTCGAGTGGTTACCTCGTCACAACTTCAGGTCCATTCCCCATCCCTCTCGCCAGAACTCCTACCCGCCAAACGCAAAACAGGAGAGACTCTACTTACAAACTGACTCTTACGGCCTCTCCGGAATCCCAGGAGCATCCTTGCTGCGGGTGGGGGTGGGGAGGGGCTGGTTAAACTCGGGCTGGACTAACAAGCTGAAATCAACAGAACTAGGGACCTCTCCCTAAACCCGTCACCTCCCAAGGGCCTAGCCCCGGACGCCATTTTTAGGCGGAAGACTTTGCAACAACCACATCTTTCATTGGCCCTGCTTTCTCCCCGGCCAATCAGAGCCGAGGTTACTGCACAGCCGTCGCTCTTGGCAACCAGCGCGTCCCATTCAAATCCTTTTTTGGGGCGGAAGCAGAGCTCCTTGACGCTCTCTTATTGGTCAGCTCAGATGTCCATCCGTAGCCAATCCGGCGCCGCGGTAGGTGGAGGGCGGGGAGGTTGAACTACTGGAGACGGCGCCGGAGGGAATCCGGAAGTGATGGGCCCCAGGTGGACTGAGCGGCGAGCGGAGAGTCTGGGGCCAGGCAGGCGGTGTAAACGAGGGACTCGGCAGCCCGCACGGGAACCTCCTGCGTCTTAGACATTGGCAGATAACTCAGTCCTTTAAAGAACGACACTGCAGACGGGCTCCTGCCGAAGAGGCCCCGGCTGGGAGTGGCATGTGGGACCGTGTGCAGGACCATCTCCAGCACCTTCCTGCAATTCCCTGCTTTGATCGAGGCCACCGATGGAAAGGAGTCCTAATGGCGCAGGCCCCACGCACCTGCCTTTTGGTCACATTGTGGCTAATGAGAAATGGCGCGGGTCCCAGCTGGCGCAGGAGCTGCAAGGTCGGTGGGCTGCCCCCTGCTCTAGTCTCCTCTCACTTTTAAAAAAATGTTTTACCACGGAACTCATTTTCTTGTCTGTCTTTGAAGGGAAAATTAAACTCGTGTTCGAGGATGGCTCGACACCTGTAGATTTTTACTTATCCGGCAGATCCTGTATTCTTTATATCACCGAAGCTGATTTGGTGGCAGGAAATGGCTACAGAAAGAGGCTTGTTCGAGTTAGAAATGTAAGTACAGAATTGGAGAAACTGAAATTAAAAATTGATTTCCATCTCCCCCTCTGTCGTTTGGAATGATTTATGTAAAACCGTTGTCTGTTCCAAGCACTCTTGGAGTGATTGCTTTCTTAACCTTTAAAGGTATTTTGTTACAAAAAAGCTTACTGTCATTTTTTTTTTTCTTTTAAGTCCAGTACTCTTCAAGGGATTGTAATAGTTGAAAAAACCCAAATGAGTGAACAGTACTTTCCAGCCATACAGAAGTTTACTGTGTTGGACCTAGGGATGGTCTTGCTTCCAGTGGCCAGCCATACGGAAGCATCCTGCCTCATTATGCAGTTAGTAAGTACTGATTTCTACTCTTCCATGGTAGACCTGACCTTGGTGGATCCTTTACTCTAGCAGCTGCCCTTGCTAATTGCAATCCATTAGTTCAATCTATATTCCCAGTGTTGGTTCATAAAATCTTTTGTAGGAATTTCAGTTCACAAGTTGCTTTTGCCGCCGGCTGAACTTGCCCCCCAGATACATTCTGCGCAAGTGTATAACAAGATGAACGTGTTAAGACACCTGATTTTAGAATTCCAGGTGTAATGACTCCATTTTTCATTATTCTGCACTTGGCTGGTGAAAATGTCGGCAAGCAGCTTCTCTGCCTCATCCCCAAGTATCTGTTGTTCATCAATATTGTGTGCAAGTTTGTTTTGTAACACTGATTCGCAATTATCTTGATTATTAAACTTGGTTATGCATTAGAATTTCCTGGGAAACTAAAAAAATGTGATACATGAGCCTTACTGCAGGCCATTTAAAAATCAAAACATGTGCATGGATCTGAGCATTTTATGTTGTTTTTAAATCTCCCTATAGCAAAGAACCAACTATTGAGAACCAGTTTTCCCAACTATTCATCTTCCCTTGACATACTGCTATTATTTCCTTACTATAGTCACCAACTGAAAGTTAGGGTTTTCCTTTGATAGGCAGCTTCCTCCAGGCCCGAAGTCAGGTTGCTTCAGTTTAGGTATAACCAGTATTTAATACCACACAACTGTAATGTTTCTTAATGGACATAGGAACACTTTTGAGTTCCTCACAGTGTGTTTTCATTGGTTTTATCCTAAGCATTCTGAAGACAAGTTTTTATGAATCATTACTTTTTAATCCCTTCTCCCTTTGTGACCACATAACTCACCTTTCAGTAATATTGCTGATATCTGAAAAAACATTCATTTTTCTATGAAATATTTGTAGCTTGTGAGTCAAGCTGAACCAAGTGGCAAAAACAAAAATTTCCACAAAATGTTTTTAAACTGCCAGTCCTCTAGAGGGCGCTCATGTGCTTTTCCTTTAATTTTGGTTTAGGTTCAAGAGCAAACCAAAGAGCCCAGTAAAAACCCTTTTCTCACGAAGAAACGGACTCAGATTTCTGAGCCCTGCCTTCTTAGAACTGTGCAACAGATCCCAGGGGTTGGAAAAACTAAAGCTCCCCTTCTGCTTCAGAAGTTTCCAAGCCTGCAGCAACTCAGTAATTCTTCCATCCAACAACTGGAGCCAGTCGTCGGACTACCAGCAGCACAGCAAATTCATTCCTTCTTCACTCAGTCCAGGTGACTCTTACCGACTTTGCTCTGTAGTGTTCTTTTAGACCACAAGGGACCGTATCCTGTTTTCTTTTCATATTTAAAAGCCAAGACAAAAGATCTCCTCTCCCAGAAACTAGTGGAAGAGTCCTGATTGGAGCCTGCCTGTTGTCCTGTCCTACAGCTAGTGCATCCAGGCATTTCAGCTAGTTCTTCCCTGCCAGCACTGCCCTCCTCCTGCTAGCCTGAAGAGGGCGGGGTGGGGTGGGGGGGATCTTTCCAAGGGTCCATTTAATTAGAGACACTCAGACTCAGCAAGAAGCCAGCTTGGGCAGATTTTTATGTGACCTTGATCTGCATGTATCATGAAAAAGGCTTATCGAGTTTTAGGCGATGGATGTGACTATCTGAAGGAAACAAACAATGAAGAACTGTAGACCATGAGCCCCTGTTCCTGGTGGCAGAACTGCTGTTCTCCAGATCTGTGCTTTGAAGACCACTGCCAGTGTAAATAAACAGAGGGACTGCCTTTTTTCTTCCTTCCTCCCTCCCTCCCTTCCTGGTGGCTGCACAGTTTGTTTATAATACGAGGCACGTCTTCTGAACACAGAAAGCCTGGAGTCTGGAGTTCCCATTTAAAGATAAAAAGCCAGTGTGTGTGAGGGAGGAAAAGAATGTTTGTAAATGTACAGCCCAGCAATGGGACGATCTACACGGGGCAGCTGCATGCAGAGAGGAGAGCCGGGGGCTGGGAACCAGGGATGCAGCTGCTCATGCAGAAAAGTAAATAAAATTAAAGATGTGTTCAAAAATACTAAGATGACTGGAAGGCTCTTTTAAGTCCTATTTTGTGAAATGTTTCTAATTTTTCAAAATCAAACCCAAAATGTATTAAGGTAGAAACTACTTAAAAGAGAATTGAAAGTCAAAACCATTAACTCAGGTAAAAAGAATGTTTATTTAAATAATTATACAAAAATGGCCCTAAGAATAGTGAATATACTTTCCCTCTTGGCATTGCACAATAGAAAACACGTAAGTTTTTGTTAGTTCTCAATTAATTTCAATGCTTTTTCTTTTAGCTATATAACTTGTACTATGTCAACAGTGAATCTTAGTAGAATCACAGTATCATCCAACCTATAGCAAGAGAAATTAATTAAGAATGTCGTTTTGAAAAGTCTGGGTTTTAAAACTTGAAATCATTTAACATCTATCTTTACCCTTATAAAATGTAAAACTAGTTTCTAACCCATCTTAAAGACTCTCAAAATATATAATTTAATTATGTACTTCTGACTTTAAACAAAATGAAAATGTTTTGAGTATCAAACAGTATATTATCTACCTTGTAGACAGCATCTTCATCTAAAACCGCCACTGTTAGCAACTTTTAAATGACATGAAACTTGAAGAAAAGCTGCTTCTAATTTTTTTTAATCTAATAAATTGTGAGAAGTTTGGCACTCGACTTTATCTGGAAACAGCATTCATATTCTGTAGAAATAGTAGTGGAATCCTGTCGTTTTAGGTTAATGAATTTCCGTCAGCAGCTTTGGTAACTAATTACAGGCTATCATAGCCCCCAAACTTGCCTTAATTTGGGGTCATCTGAATTCTGGGTTAGGAATGATCTATTACCCAAACCTGGGAACTATTTTAAGTAACTCCAATTCTATTCTGATAGTAACTAAAAGTCATAATTTTAGCCGTCAAAAATAGGCATGTTTCCAGCACTAATCTACTTACAATACTTTATAATAAATAACTTGTAGCAATGTGGTGACACTCCTTGAATAAGTTGCTTTCCCATAAACGTCTATAATTTTGTTATTTTCACTCTTAAAGACATCATTTATCTACACCGTGAGAAAGCAGGATTTGAGAATATTTAGAAATTTTTCCATTATGGCACAAATATGAAGGCCTAGTCATTACTGGAAGTGTCCTCACATTAGTACAGAAAGCTGTCATTGTTGAGAAGGCTGAGAGCAGGGAGCTTCTTCTTGATATGAGGCCTCACGACCCCAACTGATGGGAGGCACAGGGTGCTGGCGGACTTCTGTCTGTTTTTATTAGTGCCCCAACTCAAAAAAGAAAGCTTTTTCGAGATTTTCTTGTTTTTATCAGTTTTGTCGTCATCGTTCTCCATGGCCAAGCAAATCATGGAATAGGTTTTCTGCATTCCCACGGAGTATGTGGCACATTTACTATGCTGCACAAAGGAAGAGAAAAATGTTAGAAATCCTTGCAATACCTGATAAGTGACTGCAAAGTCTGAAGCTTGCATCCTACACTTACAGCATCCTTTTAAAAACTCGGTTGTATAATCCTGAAACACAAGTGACTAACCCTTATATAGAATTTGGTTCTTAAAAACAAGGATGATTTTTTTTTATTAATTAATTTATATATATTTTACATCATTGTTCATTTTTGTACAATGTTTTCTTTCTCCTCTCAGGTGTAGTCCCCTTAAAATTCCCACCACCAATTCACCCATTAACTGTCACCATAATCCCTTGTGCTCTATCCTCCCCTACTTTGCTCCTTCCTGCCCCTCCCCTGCAGAATGTCTCTGGTTTATAAAAACAAGTGTGATCTTTAAGGAATATAGGTGCTAGGGGTAAATGCAAGCTAGAACCACTACTCACTTTTTAAGTTATTTGAAAAAGTGATGCACTCTCATATTCAGCAATATGAAAATACCTACAGTGAATAATAGTTAACCCTCCCACATTAGCTTCCAGGCCCTTCCCCTGAGAAATCAATACTTTTGTTACACTTCTAGAGAGAATGTATATATACAGGTATTGATATGTGTATAAGTAAAGGTCATCATTTGTCTTTTTTTTTTAAAAGGAATAGACTACACACCCTAGCCTGTGCCCTACTTTCTTTGTGTGCTGTGTCTTCAATTTCAATCCACATTAGAAGTACAGATCAACTTTATAGTCTTTTTTTTTTAAAGATTTATTTATTTATACAAGCACTGGGTACAGTCAGAAGCGCGGGAGGGTGAGAGAATTCACCAAAGACAGAGTGGAGAGCAGAACAGGCAGACTGATGAAATACACTGCTGAGGGGAGCAGCGGGAGTGGCTGGAGAGGGCTGCGCGCCATGTGGGACCCTCGCCCGGCAGCCAGGGATCGAACGGCATTGCACAGGCTGCTGGCAGCTTCGCAACCCAGCGCTCAACCACTGCGCCACCGGGAAGGCCCTCAACTTTATAGTCTTTATTGCTATGGTCTAAGATGGTAATAATTTATTAGTCTTTTTGTAAAAAAACAAACAACAACAAAAAACAACTGACCAAAAGCAATTCTGACAAAACAGAAGGAATTATTATGCTCCCAGACTTCAAATTATTCTACAAAGCAAGAGTAATCCAAACAATGTGGTATTAGGATAAAAATACACAGATTAAAGGAATAGAGTTGAGAGCTCAGAAATAAAACTACATTTATATGGACAGTTAACTTATGCCAAAGGAGCCAGGAATATAATGGAGAAAGGAAAGTCTCTTCAACAAATGGTGCTGGGAAGGCTGGACAGACACATGCAAAACAATATTTGACCTCTATCGCACACCATACACAAAAATTAATTCAAACAGCATCAAAGACTTGAGTGTGAGACCTGAAACCACAAAACACATAGAAGAAAATACAGAACACGACATTGGCTTCAGTGATGTCTTTGTAGACTTGACTACAGCAGCAAGGGAAACAAAACCAAAAATTAAAAAATGGGACTACATTGAACAAAGTTATACACAGTTAAAGAAACTATCAAACAAAAAGACACTGTACTGATGTGAGAACATATCTGCACATCTTGCATCTAATGTAGCAGCTACTATCCAAGGTCTACAAAGAACTCATACAACTCCAAAAGAAAAGTAACCCAATCAAAAAATGGCCAGGGGCCTCCCCAGTGGCATAGCGGGTTGAGTGCAGCATTGTGAAGCTGTCCGCAGCCTCTGTAGCGTGGGTTCGATTCCCAGCAGGCCAGGGAAAGTTCCACATAGCACGGCAGACCTCTCCTGACTCGCCCGCTGCTCCCCTCAGCAGTGCATTTCAGTGGATCTGCCTGTTCTGCTGCCTGCTTTGTCTCTGGTGAATCCTCTCACCCCCTGTGCCTCTGGCCTGTACCCCAGCTCTTGTATAAATACATCTTAAAAAAAAAAAAAACAAGGGCCTCCCCGGTGGCGCAGTGGTTGAGCACTGGGTTGCAAAGCTGCCCGAAGCCTCTGTGGCGCCGGATTGATCCCCGGCTGCTCCCCGGCCACCGGAGGAGGGTCCCACATGGTTCGCAGACCTCTCCTGCCGCCCGCTGCTCCCTTCAGCAGTGTGCTTTGTCAGTCTGCCTGTTCTGCTCTCCACTCTGGCTCTGGTGAATTCTCTCACCCTCCCGCGCTTCTGACTGTACCTAATGCTTGTATAAATAAATAAATCTTTAAAAAAAAAAAAGTGGCCAGAAGAACTAAACAGACACCCCCAAATAAGGGGTAAGTCATGGCCAATGGACACATGCTCATCACCTCTTATCAGGGAAATGCAAATCAAAACCAATGAGACACCACTGCACCTCCCCCTTCTCCCACCCCCGCCCTTCCCCCCCAGTATGGCCCACATCAAAAAGACCAGAAACAAATGTTGATGAGGGTGTGGAGAAAAGGAACCCCTGTACACTGCTGAGAATGTGTGCTATCCAGCCTTTATGGAAATGAATGGAAGTTTCTCAAAACATTCATAATAGATCTACCATAATATGATCCAGCCATCCCATTCCTAGGTATCTACCTGAAGAACACAAAAACACTAATGACAAAGGATACATGCACTTCCGTGTTCACTGCACTGCTGTTTATGTAGCCGGAAGCAGCTGCCTCAGCGGTGGGAGCCGGCAGCAGCAGTGGTGCCCTCTCCCCCCGCTGTTCTACCACAAGTTGGTTGTGGCAGTTGCTCCTCAGAGCTCAGTAACTGCCATTTTGTAATGGACCAATCAGGCACGAATGATGAGCTAAATGGTGCTAAATGGTCCAGTCAGACTTGTGGGTGAAGGAGGATATAAGCCAGGGTTGGAGGGAGCTAGAGAGAGGCCCCAAAGTAAAGGAGGCCACAAACCCAGCCCTGAAAGAAGAGGACAAGGGGCCTCCGAAGGAGAGACGATGCCAGCCCCTGAAGATGGTTCCCACCTCCATCCAGCAGCCGCCCTCCAGGGAGGGAAGAGGAGCCGACGGACTCTGTCACAGGCTGGGCCTCGGTCCTGTCTCTGATATCGCCTGAAAGGAGCACCACAGACCCTGGGCCTGGCGTCTCAAAGAGCTGTTTGTTGTTGGGGTAACCCAACAACTCACAAAGAGCTGTGAACACTGGGTGTCTCTGACACCACCTCTGCGGGACCAGTAGCGGCCATCACTACTGGCCAGTGCTGCCCAGCACTCCCGGTGACCAGTGGCAACCATCACCGATGGTACCTGGGTGAGAGAGCCGCCACTTGTGGGTACAATGAGCTCTTTGTTTCCGCTGTTTGTAAAATAAACCCCATGGTTGTGGTTCCTGGAGCCTGAGGTCTCTTGCAATTGTGCATGTGGGTGAGAACCCACAGACTGTCACCTGTCCTCGTATTGGGCACTGTTCTTTGTGAGGCTCTAGCTCTTGGTTTTGGTTTTTGACCTTTGGGGGCTTTTTGGTGGCTGTCTGTTCTCAGAGCCTGGGCAGGTGGGTGGTCGTTCCATCCATCCGGCCTCCTGCCTTGTGGCCTCTTTTGTGGCCCTCTCCACCCCTGTTTCATTTACACTAGCCAAGTTAAAGAAAAAACCTAAGTGCTCCATGACACCAGTGGATAAAGGCGATGTGGTCTAGACACACAATGGAAACTGCTCAGCTATCAACAACAACAAAATCTGGCCATTTACAACAGGGATGGAACTTAAAGTGATTATGCTATGTGAAGTAAGTCAGGAGACACGCATACCAAATTACTTCACTCATCTGCAGAATAAAAAAGAAACAAACCAAATGAACAGACAAAAGAAAACCCTTGAAATATGACCATAGAACTGAGGCTATCAGAACAAGAGGGTGGGGATCACAGTGGGTTACTGGTGCTTGGTGGTGGGTGTGCAGGGATGTCAATCTATACCCCTGAAACATGCAGTGTTGTAAACTAACATTACCTTGGTAAAAATAATTTACTTAATAAAATAAAATGCCTTAAAAATTAAATTTTAAAACTGTGGTTAAAGATAACAAAGTTTCCACATGAACCATTTTTAAGTACATAGCTTAATGGGGCTAGGTGCATTTACAGTGTTGTTCAACCATCACCACCATCCATTTCTGGAACTTTCTCATCTTCCCCAAAAGAATCACTGTCCCTATTATATTAACTTTTAGGGGATTGTATAGTGCTCAAAGAGGAAATATGAAGAAACCTGTCTTTTAACTATATTCATGTGGATTAGCATCTACTTCTAACATCTGTCTAATGTTGAGGTTGCTTTGTTCACCATATGTTTATTGAGTATCCACTATGGCCCAGGCACTGCAATCAGGCTGTTTATATAAACATACACAAAATGTTGCTAACGTGCTTAGGCACATAGTTCACAGTATAATCTTCAGAAGGGTTTGCATAACGCAGCAGTTAACCTTTACAAAACACCCCTCTTGAGTTTGGCTTGTTCAGCTAAAGATGCCTCTCCCTTTTCTATAAATCTAACAATCCTACCAAGCACTAGAGAACACTTGCTATCATTAAAGGAAACACTACAACAATCCCAAGGTAAATTTGAGCCTGCAAATATTTTTCAACCTTAACCTCCTTAATTGTGGGGGTCGTGGCTTAGTTCTTCAGCCCCCAGTCCCTCCTGGGCAACCTAGGGCAGTCTCCTACAGTATTTATTTATTTATTTATGCATGCATGCATGCATGCATTCAAAAGCTGGGGTGTAGGCCAGAGGTGCGAGGAAGTGAGAGGATTCACCAGAGACAGAGTGGGGAACAGAACAGGCAGATCTATTGAAATACACTGCTGAAGGGAGCAGCAAGTGAGACGGGACAGGTCTGTTGCGCCATGTGGCTGGGGATCGAACTTGTGCTGCAGTGGCTGCTGACAGCTTCATAGTGCTGAGAATTAGCCCCTTGCACCACCAGGTAGGCCCTCCTATAGTTTTAAATGTCTCTATGCTGATGTTTCTCAAATATTTATTTTTAGCTTTGACTTTTCCCTTGAACTGAAGATGTGAACCCCCAGCCGCCTTCTTGACATCTGGGGTCTCATGGCATATGAGGTGTTCATGGCACAATACTGACTTGCTCTCTCCTCTACCCCACCCCCTACTATGCCCCTGGGACCCCACCATTATGAAAAATGACACTGTTGTTCAAGCCAAAACCAGAGGTGTCATTCCCCTTTCCACCACCTTTTTCTTATACAAATCACCTACATATATCCCTAGCTCTCTACCTCCACTACCACCCTCCTAGAAGGACCTGTTTGTCACAGGCTGGGCGACTGCCATAGCCAGCTCACCGCCACTCAGTAGGCCTCCAGGCAGCAGACATCATTCTAGAATAAACACCAGAGCACGTCACTGCCTTGCTCAGGTGGCCAGATGGCTTCCAAGCTCGTGCCACTGCCACTGAGGCCCTGCTCCTGCCCACACCTCATTTCCTGCTGCCCTCCTGGCCACGATGCTCCAGTTCAAAGGTCTTTTTTTGTTCCTCTAGCACAAGGAGCTAATTCCTCCACGGGGCCTCTGTACTTTTGGTCCCTGACCAAATGCTCTTGTGCTCTATTCCAATGGTCTGGTTCCTCCTCACTCCTGAAGTCTCAGGTAAACCCTGTCTGGAGAAGCCCCTTCCTGCCCCAGTCATTGTATCATATCACATATTTTACTCTCTTTACACACTCAGTGCCTGGTGCCTAGCAACCAGCTGTTGTAGTAACACCTAAGGCGGCCCAGAACCGCAGGTGATACTCAGTCAATATTGGTTGGGTGGAGAAACCAAGTATCCATGGTACATTATTAAACGCGACAAAGTTCAAACATGCGCAGAAGAGTGCATGTGCGACAGCTCCTCACAGTCGGTGAGACATGCCTGTGCGCGGTGTCAAGCAGCTTCCCAGGCTTGCAGAAACAGCTGACGCTGAGAGTGGAAAGTGCCTTTCACACAACACCATAAGCCCCTCTTATCATTTGAGTATTTTTTTTAACCATGAGCATGTATTCCTTGCCTCTGTAATAAATTTAATCCCCAAATAAATCAATTGGTAATTTCACGTACAGGATTAAAACAAAAAGGCTTATCAGTGATCTCTTTGACTCAAGGCGAACATATCCCAGTGACGGCATGCTGAGGAGTTGGTGGCATGTGACAAATGTACCCAAGAGGCAGAGGGCCTGGCTGAGGAACTCCCGCCACCTTACTCCACGCCCCTGCTCCTGCCAGGGGTGCCCGCACTCACCATGGACGAGGTGGGGTCCAGGAGGCTCACGACCTTCATCTCAATGTTGTCCTCCCCGAAGTTCTTCAGCAGTTTCATCACCTCGCTCACTGTCAGCCATTTACAGTCCACGCTTTGAATGGCAACAATATAATCCCCCTCCTTGACTCCTGCCAGCTACAAGGGATGATTTAAATAAAGGTCAACATTCCGTTCATCCAAAGCCCTGAATCAGTTCCCAGGTTCATTAACAAAGTAGGTTTTTTTTTTTAAGATTTATTTTTATTTGTGAGGGGAGGGGCGGGGATGGGGTGTGTGAAAGGATTTACCAGAGACAGAATGGGGGAGGCAGAACAGGCAGATCTACTGAAATACACTGCTGAGGGGAACAGCAGGCAAGACAGGAGAGGTCTGCTGCACCATGTGGGTCAGCTCCCTGGCTGGGGATCAAACTCAGGCCACAATGGCTGGCAATAGCTTGATAGCACTGAGACTTTCCCTCCTGAACCACCAGGGAGGCCCCAAAGTGGGTATTTGCAAACATTTGCATTAGTTCTTTTCTCTCTGGGCATGAGGCATCCAGGAGAGGCAGTCACATAAAGTCAGGCCTTTTACGTAGAGTGACCCTAAATTCACTGTTCTAGGTGAACTCCTTGGACAGCTTTCTTTGCATTTTGTGTCTGGCTGCCTGGAAAGATGCCAGTGAGTCTTGTCCCAATCTAGAAGGTATGTGCTTACCGCAGCCAAGCAGTAGGGATCCAGACAGTGGACTTGAACTGGGGAGTTGCCTCTCAAGGTGAACCCCAATTCCCCTTCTTCTGCAGTGAACTGAATGCTTCGGGGAGGTGTCCATCTCTTGTTTGCCGAAAACATAGATAAGGGACCCTTCGGGACAGAGCATCATTAGGTGAGGACCTGAAGGCTGAGTGAGCTCTGTGAAAGCTAAAGAAAATGTTGCCTTGCTCCTGAAGATTTCACAGGCCTGCTCAGAGATGGAATAATGGCAGCATGTGGGATAATACACACTACAGACTTGTTCCAGAATGTTTATTGTGATTGTCCCTAGAATATCCAATATACTTGGTTGTTAGAAAAGTCATGATGCATTTTGCTTGAAAAACATAGAAAAAATACAACATAACTTTTCTGACAACACAATATTTTAAGTAAGATTATTTTTTTAAATTATCTTAGGTGAGATAGCTAATGAAAGTCTAAAGTATCTAAGATAAGTCTTTTACATACTGGCAATAAGTAAAAGCTGCTGCCTTGGGTCACAAATCAATGAGAGTTCGACTTACCAGCTTCTGGAAGAAGTCTGTTACTGTCACCTTGGAGAGCTGTGGCAGGATAATTTCAACCTCTTGCTCAGTTTTAGCTAGAAAAGAAGATTAAAAGGGGAACATAGATGTTTCTGTAATTGGAAATTATTTGCAATAAACTCAGGTCTAAATTTTCTCTCTGAAGGGAAGAGAAAGCAAACCTTTCCCCAGTCTCTTGATTTAGATGATAGCACAGAAGACAGGCTACAGGCCAGCCCCAAGCCCCTTGAGATCGGTACCTTCCACTTGGGAACCTACGGCGAGGCACGCCCTGCTCTGGGCCTGGACAGAGAAGTGACAACAGGACACATCCTGTGCCCTCAAGGAGCTTATTGATAGTCCGGTGGATTTCCTCTGGCACCTGTAAGACCTGCCTGAGACGTGATCTATGCTTCAGATGTGGCTGTTACAGAAGGGCTGGAAGGACCGTCTCTCTCAGCACAAAGTCCCAGGAAAGATGCACAGCCCATTGCCATTATTACGTGAGAAGGGTGTTTGCCAAACCGCATCCATCATAGCTCAAATCTCCAGCAGCACATCCATAGCAGGCACGCCCATACTTCCCATGAGGTTCTCACAAAGGACCCCAAGCAGGCTAAGAATACACGAACAGTATACAAAGGAAATCCGGGGAAGAAGACTGGCACCACCAAGGTACAGCAGACCCCTCTGTTTGCAGGGTGACCTTGTGGCTTCCTATAAACCACCCCACAGCATTAGGTCTGGACAGGCTGCTCACTACCTAGTAGCAGGCCAGCATGGGGATCATTGCCAGGAGCTGTGTGTCTTTCATGCTGTGGGGCTATTAGGTTTCTATCTGCTGGACACACACCGCAACACAAGAAAGAGGGCCAAGGAGGTGGCCACAGTTCATAAAGAAACTCCCTGAGGCCATTTCATGTCCATCTACCGCTCTGGTCACCTGGTGCAAGGGCTGTGACGTCCCTAAAACTTCACAGCCTCTTCTTTAAGATGGGGCCTCCCTGGTGGCACAAGGGATAAGTCGCAGCACTGTGAAGCTATCTGCAGCCACTGCAGCACCACAGGAGTTTGATCCTCGGCCATCCAGGGAGCTGACCCCCAGGGCGCAGCAGACCTCTCCCGTCTCCCTGCTGCTCCCCTAGCAGTGTATTTCATTTAATCTGCCTGTTCCGCTCTCAACTCTCTGGTGAATCCTCTCACCCCCCCCCCCCGCATCTCTGGCCTGTACCCCAGTTTTTGTATGCATAAAGAAACAAATCTTAAAAGGCTGCAGGATTTTAAGGAGTCTAGAGGCAGCGCACCGGGGCGAGCAGACCTCAAGAAGGTTGGGGGCATAGGTGAGATCAGCAAGGTGGAGGAGGGAGGCAGGAACAGAGGCAGGGTGCCAGAGCCTGAGAAAGGAACATCGGGGGCTGTATGGGGGTCAAAAGGCACAAATGGGGCCTCCCCCGTGGCGGAGCGGTTGAGCGCTGGCTTGCGAAGCTGCCCGCGGTCTCTGCGGCGCTGGTTCGATCCCCGGCTGCTCCCCGGCCACCGGAGGAGGGTCCCACATGGCGCGCAGACCTCTCCTGCCGCCCGCTGCTCCCCTCAGCAGTGTACTTCGGTCCTTCTGCCTGTTCTGCTCCCCACTCTGGCTCTGCTGCTCCCTACTCTGGCTCTGGTGAATTCTCTCACCCTCCCGCGCTTCTGACTGTACCCAGTGCATGTATAAATAAATAAATTAATTAATTAATTAATTAATTAATTAATTAATAAATAAATAAATAAATAAATAGATCTTTAAAAAAAAAAAAAGGCACAAATGGGTTGACAATGATGAAGGCCATAAAGAAGCTCCTGGGTTGGGGATGAGGAGATGAGAACACCAGGGAAAGACCAACATGTGGTCCCCCCCAGAGCCCAGCAAGGGCATGTTTAACCCCTGCAGGTTAAGTAAGGACGGGCTGAGCACCCGAGGACTCCTGCCTCTCACCCTGGGCGCACCCTGCTCCTGGCAACCTCACACGGGTCACTCACAGCTCCTGGCAACCTCACACGGGTCACTCACAGATGACGTCGGGAGCCTGGAACAGGTTGAGCAGGTCGTCGTCTTCCTGGTGCTGGGCATACTTGCGGCGGGAGCGCTGGTGAGCCGCGGACAGCACCTGCTGCAGCACCTCGATGTTGCGGAGCTTCCTGCACAGGCTGGCCTCCCTCACGGACTCCTCGTGGAGGGCGATGGCTCTGCGCAGGTGGGACTTGCCTGTCAATGGAAGACCACCAGTGACAAGAGCCCTCACTGCAGTGGGTACTCCAGGGGAGCCAACATGTCCCAGGAGCAACCCAGAAAGGCGGACATTCTCTTTTCTGAAGGTGCTGCCTGGAACACTCAAGCCCGTCTAATGCAGGTGTCATTTGCTCGCTGGAGCCACACAACATACACTGGGCCAATGCTTTCCAAAGCAATGAACAAATGCTAGCCTCTGCTTTCATGTTTATATGCTACTGGGGAAGATAGTTAACAAGCAAAGAAATATGTAATAGATCATGTGGCAATGGGTTATGGAGAAAAGTAAAGCTGGATAGGTAGATATGGCCTGAAAAGCCTGAAATGGGGACAGATGACAGGTGATCAGGGATGGCCTTTTTGAAGGAAACTTTAGAGTAGAGCCCTAAAAGAAGTGAGGGAAGAATCATGACATTACCTGACAGAAGAACACTCCTAGAAGAGGAAATAGCAGGTGCAGAGGCCCTGGGGCATGCCTGTGCGTTTATGGACAACAAAGAGCTTGAAGCGTGGCTGGAGGAAGGAAGGACTGGGGAAAAGGGTAGGAAATGAGGCCAGAGAAGGGAAGGGGCCAGACCATATTCACCCTATGAGCACAGGGCGAGGGCTTCTGTTCCCAGTCTGGATGAGAAGGATGTAGCCCATCAGAGGACTTATGTGATTTGATCCAATTGAACAGACCATGAAGAAGCAAAGAGGCAAGCAGAGAGACCAGCTATGAGGCCACTGCAAAGAGTCAGGCAAGCTGTGTGACTTCTCTGGGCCTGTGTCTTCAATTGAAAAGTGGGGTTCATAGTTGTGTGAGGTTTAAGGGTCGTGTGAGGTTTAAGAGAGTCAACATTTAAGTGAGCACTATACATAGGAATGGCTTGGACCAGTGTGGTAGGTAAGAAGCAGTTAGATTTGGGGTGTGTTTTACAGGTAGAGTTCATGGGATTCATTGATCAAATATGTGCTGAGAAAGACAGACAAAAACAAAAGGTAAGTAGGGTTTCTGGCCTGCACACCTAAATGATGAAGTTGCCATCCCTGAGAAAGGGTAAGAGTATGGGGGTATAGAGGGCAGGGCTGGGGAGTGGAGGAATTCAGCTTTGTAGATGGAAAGATAGTCACTCTGAGACTCAGCCGAGACCAAAGCAGGACAATGCATCACCAGCTGTTATGTGTGGCACAACAAAATTAACAAATGTGTCCTTTTACATTAGGAGGGCCAAGGGTGATTCCCTGGACCACTAGGTGCTGGAAGATGCTCAAAGGCTCCACCGTGGGAGGCTTGGGCCCTCACAGAACTGGTAATGACACAGCTCTGGAAACCAACTGAGGTTCAAGGGCAATGCCTCAGGGTTTCTGAATCTGGAATGGCCATGGTGACTCAGAATTCCCTGTTCTTCCAAGCCCTGCCCTGAGGACCTGTCTGGGTTGCTCTTGAGCAGGACCAGCTGGGCACCAAATAGGGCACAGGGAGGGAAGGAGCAAGGACGCAGACACGCACCCAGCTGCTGGCGCTGGTGACTGTTTTTCAGCGTGGCCAAGGGCATGAGTCCCTCCGGCATGTGGTCGTACAGCTGGGACAGGCACTTCTCCTGGTGGTCCTCATCTGCGCCAGGCTTCACTGCAATAAGAACCACGAATAACGCCCTTCCCATGGCTGTGAGCCTTGGGGTTGGCGTCGCAGACCCACTTAGGGGTAGCTCTAAAAACCCATCTCCAGGGGCCTCTCTGGTGGTGCAAGGGGTTAAGTCTCAGCCCTATAAAGCTATCCGCAGCCACTGCAGCACGAGTTCAATCCCCAGCCAGGAGGTGACCCACATGGCGCAGCTGACCTCTCCTGTCTCACCCGCTGCTCACCTCAGCAGTATATTTCAATGGATCCGCCTGTTCTGCTTCCCACTCTGTCTTTGGTGAATCTTCTCACCCGCCCCTTCACATCTCTGGCCTGCACCCCAGCTCTTATATACATAAATAAATAAATCTTAAAAATAAATAAATAAAACCCCATCTCCAGGTTCCTCTCTTCCTCAATTTTACAAGACCCTGGGGTAATGACCCTCTACCCCTGGACGCCCCAGGCCATCCAGCCCACAAGTCTTGGCAAACAGGCCCAGCCACTCCGATGGGCTCATGATGTGGCTCTGAGCCTTCTCGCTCCAACTCCTTCAAGTCACTCACTTCACAGACCCTCCCAGCAAAGCCCTGCCTCAAAGCTCTGGTGGCCTCCAATCTTGCAGTGAAGACCCTCTCCAGCTTTGACATCACCCACCCAGGCACATGTCCTCTCTCTGACCTCACCACTACCTCAACACTTCCGGCTTCGTCCCTGAGCTCAGTGTTCTGCTCTTCACGGTCCTTCCCTCCACGTTCACCTGGAGAGTCCTCCACAGAGTTCAGAGTCAAGGTCAAATGCTTCAGCCTCTGAGAAACCACCCATGCCCACAGGCTCCAGCCCTGCATCATCTGTGTCTCTGCTGCGATGGCTGAACCACTGTATTCCTTTATGTCCCTATGGCCTCACATACCTAGTCCCGCCTGACAGACTACATAACAACAAACCAGCAGTAGCTAACACTTTCAGAAAGTCCACTCTATACAAGGCACCAATAAGCTTTGCACATAAGTACTTGGTTCTCACAACAACCCCATGAAATAGATTCCCTACATATCTCCATTTTACACGTGAGAAAACTAAGGCACAGAGCAACAAAGGAACTTGCCCAAGATGACCCAGGTAATAAAGGCAGAGCTGAGAAACAAACCAGGCAGTCTGGCTCCAGTCCTGCCTGTCCTTTTTATTACTCTGGGGGCTGCCTAGAGTAGTGCTAATTACAGCAGAGGTCCTACCTACCCAACCTTCAATCAATCAGAGGCAAGATGAGAGAGGGAAGCATGAGACACTCACCCCAGGGCTGAGAATTTAAGGGATTGCCAAAATCTCAGCAAGAGCTTTTCAATCAAGAAAAATAATCTTAATGTCATTTTCTAAATATGCAAAAATATCCACAATGAACAAACAAAACATCAAAGTTTCCTTCTGAGGGGGGCGGAGCAACATGGCGGCGAGGAGACGCTGCGAGTAAGATCTCCCATTAAAAAAAGTTAATAGGGAGGAAAAGCGGCAGGTCCCAGTGAGAACTGGGACACGGAAGATAAACGGGTGACGCCAGCGAACTACCCGAAGAAGAAAGTGGCCATAAAAGAGGAACAGAAGGGAGGGAAGCGCAGAACCCTGCTCCCCTCCCCCGCCCACAGAGGCGGCACTCTCCGACCCGCAGAGAGGAGGGAAACAACAAACTAAAACGACCCACAAGAACAAAGGACGCAGCAAGCAGGACTGGGAGTGGAAAGGAACTATTGCAGCCACCACACCCCGTGAACGGGAGCTGAGGCGAACCCTGCAGGATCCGCCGCAGCGGTGAGGGAACGGCTCCGGGCGCCATTAGAGAAGAACAAAGACCCCGGGAGACGCGCACACAGCCCGGGCTGCCGCACACAGCCCGGGCTGCCGGTAAGCTGGCGCGGGAAAGCGGCGAGCTCGGGGAGCTTGAAAAGCAAGTGCAGACCGGAATCGCGGCTGCCCAGGTCCCCGCGCCTGCGACCTAGGCTTGCGGGGAGACGACCTAGGCTTGCGGGGAGACGCGCAGAGGTCCTCACTGAGGTGAAGGTCCCTCCCTGAGTGAGCAGGAATCAGGCGCCCAGGCACGGGAGCGGTGCAAAAGGCGCCATTCCCGCGCCACTGAACTGGGCTACAGCCCGCGTCCTGGAACTGAGGGCTTTGAACTGAGACCCGGGGCACGAAAATTCGGGGCGTGGGTTCTCCACGACGGTGGGGCACAAGGCAGACACAGCACCCCAAAGCTGTTGAGGTGTACCCTACCATTCCTGCTCTGTTCCCTGTCCCACGGGGTGGGGGGAGGCAAAAAACAGCCCCCCAAGGACAATAGGAGAGATCTCTGGCGCCACCTAGCGACCAGGAAAAAAAAGTCACTAACACCCCATAGAGCAGGAAATTTCTTAAGACTGCTTGAAAAGGGCAGAAGGCTTCTGCAGTGGCCAGCCGGGAAGTTATTCCACGCCAGGCCCCTTCCGACCAGCAGTCTGAGCCCACAGAGGGAGCAGGCACCCACGTCCGGGGCAGACCGGGGGCGCAAGAGTGTGCCTGAAACCGGAGGCGCAGGGACTGCATCCCGCTTCGCCATTTGAGAACAGGGACATTTCTTCAGTAAAAACTGCCTAAAACCAGCAGAAAGCTCCCCCAGAAGGCAGAGATGGCTCCTGGAAGAGCCAGAGGGGAGCGGAGAAGTTCACCCAAGATGCCAGTCAGTCCTAGCAACACAGTGTCCCAACGCATACGACAAATTAGAAAACAGACAGTAGGGAGTAGAAGAACCACACGCAACCTAACAACTCCTCAGGAAAGAAGCACACCACAAAAAGAAAACCACTCCCCAGATTGCAACGACAGCAACTTGGAAGAACTTCTGAGCCTTCCAGAAAGAGAATTTAAAATTGCCATGATTAAAAAAGTGATAGATCAGAAGAAGGAAATTGAGTCCCTAAAGAAGGAAAACAATGGTCAGAAGAATGAAATTGAGTCCCTAAAGAGGGAAGTAAAAGAAATGCAGGAGATCAAAGAATTAATGGAGGAACTAAAGAACTCCGGGAAAAGCAAGGAAAGCAGAATAGATGAAATGGAAGAACGAATAAGTTCTCTTGAAGACACAGAAATAAAAAGAACCAAAACAGAAAAGGAAAGAGAAGTACGAAGGAAAAAGAATGAAGAAAGACTTCGGGAACTATCTGACTCCATGAGGAAAGGAAATATAAGAGTTATAGGAATTCCAGAAGGAGAGGAGAGAGATGTAGGAACAGAGAAAATATTCCAGGAGATAATTGAAGAGAACTTCCCAAATGCGAAGAAGGAGCTGAAAATTGATATACAAGAAGCAAGAAGAACACCAAACTTCCATGACGAAAGGAAAAACACAGCAAGACACATAATAGTAAAGCTCCCAAGAATCCAGGACAAGGAAAAAATAATGAAGCTGACAAGAGGGAAGAAACAGATAACATTCAAAGGAAAACCAATCAGGCTGACATCAGACTTCTCTGAAGAAACACTACGGGCAAGGAGAGAGTGGAGGGACATAGTCAACAGACTCCAAGAAAACAGATGCCAACCAAGAATACTCTATCCCGCAAAGCTCTCTTTCCTCCATGAAGAAAGAATATGGACCTTCCCAGACAAAGAGAAACTCCGGAATTTCATTACGAATAAACCCCCACTCCAAAAACTACTACAAGGAATCCTAAAGCCAGAACCTCAGAGGGACGAATAACAACGAAAGAAGACCAAAAAAAAAAAAAAAAAAATTTATTAAAAGAATAAATAAATAAAATCAAAGGAAAGACAAACATAATGGCAAATACAGATGCTAACATATCAATATTAACTCTAAATGTAAATGGACTAAACTCTTCAATAAAAAGACACAGAGTTGCAGCCTGGATTAAGAAACAAAACCCAACCTTTTGCTGTCTCCAGGAAACACATTTAGCTACAAAAGATAAAAATAGGCTCAAAGTCAAAGGATGGAAAACAATCCTACAAGCAAATGGGCCAAAAAAGAAAGCAGGAACAGCTATACTTATATCAGATAAAACAGACTTCAAACTCAAAAAAATAAAAAGAGACCCCAATGATCACTACATTATGATTAAGGGGACAATACTTCAAGAAGAAATAACACTCATTAACATATACTCACCAAACGAAAGAGCACCAAAATATATCAGACAACTGTTGTCCTCTCTGAAAACAGACATCAGAGAAAACACATACGTAGTGGGAGACTTCAACACACCACTATCAACAATGGATAGATCAACAAGACAAAAAATAAGTAAAGAAACTAAAGCTCTAAATAAGGACCTAGAGCAATTGGGCTTAACAGACATCTATAGAACACTAAACCCAAAAAAAACGGAGTACACATTTTTCTCAAGCGCACACGGATCATTCTCCAGGATTGATCACATACTGGGGCACAAGACAAACATCAACAGATACACCAAGATTGAAATCATACCAACCATCTTTTCTGACCACGAAGGCATCAAACTAGAAATAAATCATAAAAAGAAGGCAAGGAACTTTCCTACCTCATGGAGATTAAAAACCACACTACTGGAAGACCACTGGACTAACGAGGAGATCAAAGAAGAAATTAAAAAATTCTTTGAATTGAATGACAAGGAGGACACCAATATCCTAAATGTATGGGATGCAGCAAAAGCAGTAATAAGAGGAAAATATATAGCAATAGAAGCTCACATCAAAAAACAAGAAAGAACTCAAAGAAACAACCTAATCTCGAAGCTCAAAGATCTAGAAAAAGAACAACAAAAAAAACCCAAATCCAGTAGAAGAAAAGAAATAATAAAAACCAAAGCAGAAATAAATGAAATTGAAACTAAAAAAACAATCCAAAAGATCCATGAAACCAAGAGCTGGTTCTTTGAAAAAATAAATAAAATAGACAAACCCCTAGCCAGGCTCACAAAGGAAAAAAGGGAGAAAGCACAAATACACAGGATCATAAATGAAAGAGGAGAAATCACAACGGACACAGCAGAAATCAAAAGAATAATCAGTAACTACTATGAACAGTTATATGGAAACAAGTTCAACAATCTAGAGGAGATGGACAAATTCCTACAACTCTACAATCACCCAAAGCTAGATAAAGAAGAAATAGAACACCTAAACAGACCAATTACAAGCAGCGAAATTGAAATGGTAATCAAAAACCTCCCCAAAAACAAAAGCCCAGGACCTGATGGATTTACAAATGAATTCTACCAAACATTCAGAGACGAATTAGTGCCTATCCTTCACAAACTCTTCCAAAAAACTGAGAAGGAAGGGACAATACCAAACACGTTCTATGAAGCCAATATTACACTAATACCAAAACCGAATAAGGACAACACAAAAAAGGAAAACTATAGGCCAATCTCCCTAATGAACACTGATGCAAAAATCCTCAATAAAATTTTAGCTATCAGAACCCAACAATGTATCCATAAGATAATTCACCACGACCAAGTTGGATTCATTCCAGGAGCACAAGGATGGTTTAACATCCGAAAATCAATCAACGTTATCCAACACATCAACAAAAAGAAATATAAAAACCATATGATAATATCAATAGATGCTGAGAAAGCTTTCGACAAAGTGCAACACCCATTCATGATAAAAGCCCTTGAAATTCTTGGGATACAAGGAACATACCTCAACATCATAAAGGCCATCTATGACAAGCCAACAGCCAGTATAATTCTCAATGGTGAAAAGCTGAAAGCAATTCCATTAAGATCTGGAACAAGACAAGGATGTCCACTCTCACCACTGCTTTTCAATATAATACTGGAAGTCCTAGCCAGAGCAATAAGACAAGAGAAAGACATCCAAGGAATCCAAATAGGAAAAGAAGAAGTCAAACTATCACTATTTGCAGATGATATGATAATATACATAGAGAACCCCAAAATCTCCACAGAAAAACTAATTCAACTCATCAGTCAGTTCAGTAAAGTGGCAGGATACAAAATCAACACGCAAAAGTCAGTAGCCTTCCTATACACAAACAATAAATCTGAAGAAGAAGAAATAAAAAAAAACCACCCCTTTTATTATTGAAACAAAAAAAATCAAATATTTGGGAATAAATCTAACAAAAGAGGTAAAGGACCTATACAAAGAAAACTATAAAACACTGTTAAAAGAAATAGAAGAAGACACAAAGAAATGGAAAGACATCCCCTGCTCATGGATTGGAAGAATAAACATTATTAAAATGGCCATCCTACCAAAAGCAATATACAGATTCAATGCTATTCCAATCAAAATCTCAATGGCATTCTTCAAAGAAATAGAACAATTATTGATGAAATTCATATGGAATCACCAAAAACCCCGAATAGCCAAAGCTCTACTGAAAAAAAAAGAAGGAAATGGAGGCATCAAACTCCCAGACTTCAAACTATACTACAAAGCCATAATCATCAAAACTGCATGGTATTGGAACAAGAACAGACATACAGACCAATGGAATCAAATAGAAAATCCAGAAATAAACCCACAGATTTATGGTCAACTAATCTTTGACAAAGGAGCAAAGACTATGCATTGGAGCAAAGAAAGTTTGTTCAATAAATGGTGCTGGGAAAACTGGGTCGCTACATGCAAAAGAATGAAGCTTGACCACTACCTCACACCATACACAAAAATCAACTCAAAATGGATTAAAGAACTAGACATAAGACCTGAAACCATAAAATACATAGAAGGAAATATAGGCGAAACACTACGGGATTTGCACATCAAAGACATCTTTACAGACACATCACCCAAAGCAGTGATAGTGAAGACAAAGATAAACAGCTGGGACTACATCAAATTAAAGAGCTTCTGCACAGCAAAAGAGACAATAACAAAAACAAAGAGAAACCCCACCAACTGGGAGAACATTTTTGCACCCAACACTAATGATAAAGGACTGATCACAAAAATCTGCAAAGAGCTGATGAGACTCAGCAACAACAAAGAAAATAATCCAGTCAAAAAATGGGCAGAAGAGCTAAAAAGAAACTTCTCTGAAGAGGAAATGCAAATGGCCAACAGGCATATGAAAAAATGTTCAACATCACTTGTAATCAGGGAAATGCAAATCAAAACTACCATGAGATACCATCTCACACCAGTGAGAATGGCACATATTAAAAAAACTAGCAACAACAAATGTTGGCGAGGGTGTGGAGAAAAAGGAACTCTTCTGCACTGTTGGTGGGAGTGCAAACTGGTCCAACCACTATGGAGAGCTGTGTGGAGATTTCTGGACCTACTAAACATAGAGCTTCCATAGGATCCAGCAATTCCACTCCTAGGTATTTACCCAAAGGACACAGAAACATCAATTCCAAAGAGCACCTGCACCCCTATGTTTATAGCAGCACTGTTTACAATAGCTAAGCTTTGGAAACAACCCAAATGCCCAAAAGTAGATGACTGGATCAAGAAGATGTGGTACATATATACCATGGAATATTACTCAGCATTCAAAAAAGATAAACACATGCAATTTGCAGCAACATGGATGGAGCTGGAAGGGATCATGCTCAGCGAAATAAGCCAAAAAGAAAAAGAAAAATACCGGATGGTCTCACTCATAGCAGGAATCTAGAAAACTTAAATAAGGGACCAGGAAAATGAATATAAGAAAGTGAAAATCAAAATCAACAAAAAACTATGAACCAGAGACACTTTTGGGGGGGTGGGGGGCGGGAGGGGAAGGATTGGGGTCAGAATGGGGCGTTTGCAATTGTATGGGGGAATATAAAAATAAAATTTAAGATTAAAAAAAAAAAAAAAAAAGTTTCCTTCTGCCCCAGGCTCCTTGCAGGTCAGTGCTGCAATGCATTGAGCTGCACTTACATTTAAAATCTTGATCAGGGGTCTCCCTGATGGCACAGGGGTTAGAGACACAGCACAGCACTATCCAGCTGTCAGCAACCACTGCAACATGAGTTTGATCCCCAGCCAGGGAGCTATCTACATGGCACAGCAGACCTCTCCTGCCTCTCCCAGTGCTCCCCTCAGCAATGGATTTCAGTAGATCCTCCTGTTCTGCTCCCCACTCTGTCTCTGGTGAATCCTCTTACCCCCACACCTCTGACCTACACCCCAGTTCTTGTATGCATAAATAAATAAATCTTAAAAAATAAAATAAAATCTTGATCACCATGCACTTTCTGCATTAATTTTGATTCATTTACACGACATTAGAATGTGTTCTTGATTAGTGAGCAGTGAGGCATCCCCAAGTTTTAGCGTTCTAGCCCTCTCATAGATTCCAGATGAAAAGTCCTCTCCATGAAGCTCTCTGCTCCATGCCAGGCTGAATTAACATGACCCCTCTTCCTCCTTCCTCCCACAGTGTGAGTAGATCACCCTTAATCCCACCCTGGCTTGTGCATTCCCCCATAAGCCTCTCTAGGGCAGGCGGGCAGCTCTTTCTCTCTCCCAGGAGCAGAAAACCACAATCCTGACCAAAGCCTGAGTCCCCTGAACCTTACATTGGTGGTCGATGAGCAGGGTGGCCGAGAAGTAGTGCGCCAGGGCACCGTAGTGGTGGGCCTTCACACAGGCCAGCCTGGCCCAGGAGTAAGGGATGTTCTCCTTCACAGGGGCCTGGCTCATGGCCGCATGCAGCTGCTGGTAGACCTCTCCCACCTGAAACAGAGGGGATATGGCAAGGGGAGCTCAGCACAGAGGCCCTCATGAGCTAGAGCTGCAGGAGAAAGAGCCCTTTCTTCTATGCAGCTCTGCCAGAGGCTACTCCAGAATCTGGGAGCAACTCCCAGGGAGCCTGTGCTGTCAGCATCTGAGTTAACAGGAGAAGGGGCAACTGTCACCGTGCTGGTTTCTAGCTAAGCTGCAGATGGAATCTGTGATCTATATCTGAATCCCCAGTACTTGCCAAGAAAATGCCAGCATGAGCCGGGGCAGGCTTGTTGCCCAGGTCACGGGCCGGCTGCCATAGGGAGCCCTGCTGCCCCTGTGCATTGGTGCTCACGTGCCCACCCACCCCGAAAGCCACAAGAACCAGGGGTCTTACCTTGGCAGCCTCCTGAGCCACCTTCACCAGCATGAAAAATTCGTTCTGGATCCCAGGAAGGCAGACCTTCTCAAAGATGCTTTCCTGGGCCTGTGCAAGCATCATTTTGACCAGCACGCCCAGCATGGCGGGGCTCATGTCGTAACTCGGGGTGTGAGTAAACGTCTCCTTCAAGTGGTTTAAAACCCCTATGATTGGAAATTTTTTGCATGTTACTTTGGGATCACACTTATTTCACCACGCTGCTCAGAAGTATAGAGAATTCCAGAAGCAGAAATTCCAGAAATACAAAACGGGTGTCAGGAGCATCTAAAAAAATCTGATTCTTATTTTTTGTAACTGAGGAGCAATTCCACCCCTAGGTATGCACCCCACATAACAAAGTGGGAATTTAAAAGGACCTTTGCACCCCAGTGCTCACAGCACTATCATTCATAATAACCAAAAGGCAGAAAAAACTCAACTGTCTGCTGACAAACAGGTAAAAAAAATGTGGTAAATCCATACAATGGAATATTTTCAAGCTTCACACAGGAAGGAAATTCTGACACATGCTACAGCCTGGATGGAGACATGGTGCAAAGTGGAACAGGCCAGTCACAAAGACAAATGCTGCATCCAGAGCGTGAAATTCACGGAGACAAAAATAGGATGGCGGCTGCCAGGGGCCTGGGGGCAGGAATGGGAGCGATTGTGTAATGAGGACTTTTGGTTCAACATGATGAATACATGGGCACAGTTGTGTGGACACATTTAATGTCAATGAACTTAAAAAATGGTTAAAATGACAATTTTACTAGGTATGTTTTAGCATGATTTTAAAAAGTTGTACTTTCTTCCAAACACCAATGTCTAGGGGGCCTTCCTGGCTATTGGCTTCACTAATACAGCCTGAGTTCGATCTCTGACCAGGGAGCAGACCTCCCCTCTCTTACCTCTGCTCCCCTCAGCAGGGTATTTCAGTTGATCCGCCCGTTCTGTTCCCCACTCTGTCTCTGATGAGTCCTCTCACTCCCCACCCCCCTGCACTTCTGGCCTACATCCCCGTTCTTCTACACACACAACAAAAATAAAACATCTACGTCTATAACAAGCAGGAAACCAGCCTGCTCCCCGGGCATTCCTGTCTTACCTGAGACAACTGCAAGAAATCCCAAATATAACAGGCATGTATTTGACAGAGGTGAAAGCAAATGGGATGACTGAGGGTTGGTCAGGGGGACAGGCTCCCACCTAACCTGGGGCATTCAGAAGTGGGGGGCTGTCCTCCAGAACCTCAGGAAAGACTGACTCAGCCCATACCAGTGGAAATTTTCACACTGTAGCCTTAGCTGACTTTTATATGTTAGAAAATGAACTGTCACAGCATTAACTAGCAACCTGGGGCTGAAATGAAACCTCTGACATGAACCCCATCTGACTGGTTTCTCTGGTTTTGCTGCAAAGCTCGAATGGCCCCACAGAAGGATGTTTGCTCCCCTCTGGGATTCGCTGCACTCTGTCCTCAAGCTTCCCTGTGCACAGATCTCTATAATCTCAGACAGGTCACAAAGCATACCTGCCTGAGATTCCTCAGAAAGATAGGCCCAAAAAAGGATTGATGGTGAAATAAATAGACTCCCACATGGAATCTTAAGCTTGTTGTTTCATCCTGTGGGTACATCACTTTAACATCAGTACTTCTGTGATTCACCAAAATGGCCAGGCTGTGGTTCCACGCTGCCTCTGGAAGTGGAGTGGCCAGGACTGGCCCAGAAGGGAACAGACTGGTCAGCCTTGGGGGGGGGCGGTCACAACGTGGCCTTGCTGTCACTGCTTTTGCCCACTATCCCTGGAGGTGCTGGACACAGGTGCTGCTCTAGGGGACCAATGCAGGACCCTTGGATGCCCATGAGTGGCACGGGGTCTGCCCAATGCACCAGGGCCAGTGACCATGGCCCCCTAGAGTCACTTGGCAGAGGGTAGAGAAGAGTAACCTTGGGGTTGTGTTCATGTCTAAGCCAAGAATAATGACATGACCTCTGCTGCAGAAGCCAATGGACTACATTCCTCAGGCCATGCAGGCAGGACACCTGATGCCTAACTTTTCCTTCCGAGGATGCTGACAATGTAAGTTCCCAACCAGCACCTGCAGGTGGTTTTAATTGGTAACAGAGAAAAGGGCAGTTATTCTAGAAATGCACCATCAAATGTGATCAAATACCCAGGATTGTTTGGAAGCACTCAGACCAGAGAGTGAAGAGACTCTCCCCACTGCACATTTCTACTTTCCTTCTTTCCTATATCATCTTCCTCCACTCGCCACTCTAGCTGGCAGCCTCCAGGCCTGCTCTGCCATCCCCGACATGGCACCACTCACTTCTTTTGTAGAAACCATCTCGTACTTCAGAGTCTGGCTTTCCAAGCACAAGAGAATCGACCCGGTTAAGCTAGAAACAAGGTGGGTGAAGAAGTGACAGAACTAGGGCCTCCCTGGTGGCACAAGGGGTTAAGACACAGCACTATGAAGCTATCTGCAGCCACTGCAGCATGAGTTCAATCCCTGGCCAGGGAGCAACCCGCATGGTGCAGCTGACCTATCCTGACTTGCCTGATGCTCCCCTCAGGAGTGTATTTCAGTCGGTCTGCCTGTTCTGTTCCCCACTCTGTCTCTGGTGAATCCTCCCACCACCACCCCCACACCTCTGGCCTGTACCCCAGTTCTTGTATGCATAATAAAATAAATCTTTAAAAAAAACAAGTGACCGAACTAAATAAAAAGGAAGGATAGTAATATGCACCAATGAGGCACCTCCAAAAAAGAAAGAAGAGCCACATTTTCACTGTTCTGATAAATCTTCTCTTCTTCAATATAGTGTTCCAAGGAACAGTTCATTCACCTGCATCCTTGGGGCCACTCATTTGGAAAAGATTAAAGGTTAACCACAGGATTCCCTATGCACACAAGCCTACTGCAACTCAAATGTTGGGAATGAGCCAATAAGCAGGGGGAAGTTACACCAGCACTGGAAACTGACTGGGCCCTATCAGGCCCATGAGGCCAAGGGTGGGTCTGGGGCACCCACAGAGCCTCTTCCTGAGAGCTGGGGTGTCCGGTGCCAAGGCTTTCTCCCCCAGTGCTCCCGAGACACACCTGCGGCCTTCTGGAAGGCGTCCACGGCGCTCTCCAGCCCAGCCTGCGCCTGCCGATTGCACCGGGTCCCGATCTGGGTGTAGAGGGCGCCGATGTTAAACAGAATGCTGGCTTTCTCCAGCAGCAGGTTCTGTTGGCTGACAGGAACCCCTGTCAGGGAGTCATACCTATTTAAAATAAACGTGCTGTCAGAATCAGGGTAACCTGGCTAGTTACTGCCACTTTTAAGGGGGCAGGAATAGGACAAAATTTATTGCTTGAATAAAATTCAAAGATGCGCATGCAATGAAGCTTTCATTTCTAAACAAGACGATGAACTTGATCATACTAGATAAAGACACCCACATCACACGCAAAAATCAGGCTTCTCAACCAAGATGTCCGTCAGTAGGTGAGTGGATAAACTGTACAATATCACTCAGCACTAAAAACACATGAGTCATCAAGCCGTGAAAAGACATGCAGGGACTTTAAACGCATATTACTAGGTGAAAGAAGTCAATCGGAAAAGGCTACATACTGTATGATTCCAACTATATGACATTCTGGAAAAGGCAAAACAATGGAGACAGAAAAAGAATCAGAGATTGCCAGGGTTTGTTTTTTGGGGTTTTTTGGTGGGGGGCAGGGATGAGGGTGGAGCAGGGAGAGTTTCCAATGCAGTGAAACTACCCTGCATGATACTTAATGCTGGATACATATCATTACACATTTGTCCAAACCCACAGAATGTAAACCACCAAGAGCGAACTGGAATGTACACTATGGATTTGGGTAATAATGTGTCATTGTAGGTTCTGAAGGGGGTGTTCATTTTGGGGGAGGATGTATGTGAGGGCAGGGGTATGTGAAAAATATTTACACCGTCCCCCCAATCTTGCTGTGAATCTAAAACTGCTCTAAAAAATAAAAGGTGTTATAATGGTATAAGATGGTATAAAAATAAACTAAATAAATAAAAAAAACCCACTATTAGACTATAAAACTAAATCAGTGGTTACCAGAAAAGGCGGCAGGGAGTGAGTGCAGTGAAGAGGTCATTTGAATGATGAAGGATAGAATTGACTTTTAATGGTGAACAGAATGTAATACATGCAAATGTTGCTTTATAATGATGCACATCTGAAATCTGTTATAATATTAATTCAATAAAAATTATTTCAAAAACAACCCAAAAATGGATGACTTCTCTTAAATGAAATAAAGCAGTTACTCATCCCTCATAATTCTTCCTGAAGTCTAAAAGATTCGGGATTTATTTTAAAGTTCACATGTCAACCAGGAGGTGGACTGAGAGATCTTCCTAATTCAACACTTGCCCTGTCAGCCATGCATGTGTCTTCAGGGAAGGTCTTCTCCTTTCCTTTCCAAAGGAAGGCATCCCAAGCCACCTCCCGTGCTGAAATTTAACTCTGCATATGCAAGTCAGCTGCTGGGATTTCCTCTCCTTTCACCCAAATTCAGAGAAGAGGGAAAACAATTCCAGGGTATTTACATAGTGAGAACTCTGACCATTCCACCTCAGGAGAAGAATCCAATGTGCTGCTTCAGCTTTCATCTTCTGATCTATTTCTTTTTGCTGCCCTTGACACCCGACAAAACCTGATGGCTAGTTCTAAGCTCCCCCTACTTACCCTGCCCATAAACCCACACCCAAGTGTTTGGCTTCTAGTTAGTTCCACCTCAGAGACGCCAGTTTCCCCAGTGATAAAACGAGCACCAAAAAAATGCCACTTTTCCTGGGCTCACTAGATCTGAGAAGCAAGAAGCCGCGGTCTGTTGGAGCTTTCCGTCGTTAGGTCCCTTCATAAATAAACACACCCCCCCACGCCAGCCGCCCCCCCCCCCGCCCCCCCATCTACACCATAGTTAGAAACAGGAGCCTCTGTGCTGGCAGGCTCTGAAACGGTGGCTGCAGGGGAAGCTGCTGGGGCTCAGACTCAGCACCCACCAGGTAAACAAGATCCCCATCTGTCGGGTTGGGGGAAAGAAGCGGCTCTCCACGAAACCCAGCTGGGTGAAGTAAGTCATCAGCAGCTCCACACCGGCCTCGTCGCGGCTGGGTGTCCGACAAGCCTGAGGAAAGGAACAGAGAGGGCATGAGCAGGGACAACACCCCCCAAGATGCTCCACATCAATTTCTGTGCAGCTTGGGCCCCCTCTGTGGTATCATCTACTCTGGAAGGAGTGGAAAGGGCTGAAGTGAACTCAGGAGTCCAGGATCCAGGCCAGATGTGCCAGTGGGTAGGACTATGGTATTTTGGGTTCCCACAGTCCCTATAAGTTCTTTAAGACCCCAAGTGCGCAATTATGGGACAGTCTGAAGACCCAACAAGCTAGAGCAGTCACGCCCCTCCCGCTGCACACAAAAACGCACTTGTCTCAGGTCCATCAGATCTGCTATTTCATCTTCATACAAGCAACCATCTTCGCTATAATGGTCCAGGATGAAGTCCTGTAAGAAAAGTGAGATAAGACAGTCTTAAGACTCAAAACCACATGGTAACACGACATTCCCCTTTTAAAACACATGTAAAGTGGGGGTCCCTGATGATGCAAGGGGTTAAGTGTCAGCACTATGAAACAATATGCAGCCACTGCAGCTCGAGTTAAACCCCCACCCCCCCACCCCGTCAGGGAGCTGACCCACATGGCACAGCAGACCTCTCCTGTCTCACCCACTGCTCCCCTCAGCAGTGTATTTCAGCAGAGCCCCCTGTTCTGCTCCCCACTCTTCATATGGTTAATTCTCTCACCCCCCCCCCGCACACCTCTGGCCTGTACCCCAGTTCTTGCATGCATAAATAAATAAATCTTTAAAAAATAAATAGATAAAACACACGTAAAGTACAGAAAGACTTAGCTGAGGACATGCACTGCAGTGATTTTCTGAATGATGGGCTTTTCATTTTGCTTATGTTTTTGTTGATACAGTAAAAAGGAAAGTTTTTAATTTAAAAAATTGCCTTTGCAACTCCGTAAACAATTCTGGCAAACATTACAGAAACTTAGAGGCTCAGCCCTTTACCCTTTAAAATGTCCTCAATTTGAGGATACAGGCTCTCCTTGGTGAAGGAAACTGGTGTGTGGTGACTATGATGGTGGCCCCTCAGGGTGTGCATGGAAACTCTGGTGAGACCAACTCAGCACTCTGTAAATGGAGCACCGTGGAGAGACCTCCAACTGGACTGCAGTCCAGAGCATGACAAGCACTCTGAGTTGGTTCAGTCACGTGATACCTACTGATGAGCACCTACTATGTGCCAGGCCTGGGTTACATCAGTGATCATAGCAAAGATCATTCCCCCACGGAGCTCATATTCTTGCAGGGGGCACAGACCACACACAGCAGACAGTTAAATATGTAAATTACATCAGGTTAGAAGAAAACAAGGAGTATAGGGGAAAAATTAGTGTCAGATAACAGGTACACAGGATCAGTTCTAGCACAGATGCAAGAAGGTCGAGACAGTTCAATTCTGTAAACTTGCCTTCTCCATAAACACCCCACTTGCTTTCTGTATGTTCAGTGTGTGTGTGCACAAACACATACACAAACACACTCGTCTTACAAGAATGACACTGGACACAATGAATGTACAACTTTGCTTTGCTTTTTTTTTTTTTTTTGAGTTGGCATGTGTCTCATGTTTTCATATGCCAAATATTCCATAACACAGCATTGAATTATAAAACCTTCTGGGGCCTTCCTGGTGGCCTAGGGGTTAAATCTCAGCGCTATCACCACTGCAGCCTGAATTCAATCCCCAGTCAGGGAGCTGACCCACATGGTGCAGCAGACCTCTCCTGTCTTGCCCGCTGCTGCCCTCAGCAGTGGATTTCAGTAGATTCGCCTGTTCTGCTCCCCACTCTGTCACTGGAGAATCTTCTCACACCCCACACCAGTTCTTTTACACAAAAATAATAAATATTTTTTTTAATAAAATAAAATAGAAGGAAGTCACATGTGAGACTTACTGGCCACCACACAAATACCTCAGGTCTGAAAGACAACTTGAACTGCCCTGATTAAGTTGGCTGGGCTACTTCTGTGGTGCCCATGTTACTCTTAAAAACAAACATGGAAGGAGAAAATAGAATGTCCACAAACATTCTCATTTCTGTGACTGACATTTGTGGAGTTGCTTTTAGGCTAAAATAATATGGTTAGAAGCCTCAGCTGAATAGCAGTTGGCCATGCCCACAACATGTGATTTTTTTATACTTGCTTTAATGTGGAATTCATGTGACATGTTTGGGTCCTTACAGATGTCCGTGAAGCTTCTCCAAGACAGTCGCTTCATATGCTTGCATTCTTGCAGCTCTGGCACAGAGCAACCTACTAAGAAACTATCTACAAAAACAACTCATGACATTTCCACACACATAAGTGTTCTCAAGTCTCACAGGCTAGCATCAAATCGAAAAGTTCAGAAGGTTGGTGCAAAGTTGGCATAAAGTTGTATCTTCTCAGGGCCTCCCTGGTGGCGCAAGGGATTAAATCTCAGCACTATGAAGCTATTGGCAGCCACTGCAGCACGAGTTCAATCCCCGGCCAGGTAGCTGAACCACATGGTGCAGCAGACCTCTCCCAGCTCACCCACTGCTCCCCTCAGCAGTATATTTCAGTCATTCTGCCTGTTTTGCTCCCCACTCTGTCTCTGGTGAATCTTCTCACTTTCCCACACCTCTGATATATATCCCAGCTCTTGTATGCATAATAAAATAAATATTAAAAAAAAAAAAACAACAACTATCTTCTCAATCATTTTCTACCCGGAAAATCAAATGTCTACTGTAGTATCCAGGGTCCTCTAACACTACCAACATCCCTTCTCCAACCCCAAATAAACTCCAACTGACAGGGACCGGGACCTGGATTTAAACAAGGCAGCAGTGAAAAAGGTCCTTGGGGAAAGCAACTCAGAGTCTCAGCTCCAGGATGGAGGTCAAGTGTAGAAGCATTTGGGGTGCTAATTGCTTTGAAAACGACACATTTTGTAGTATAGCCAAAATATCATATAATTTTTTCTTTTCTAAACTAAAAGTAGTCCAGATAAGTCAACTAACAGATTACTGTGGGAAGAAACATTCTTTAAAGCACTGTTCATGATCCTGGGGTTAATCCTCTACAGCACATGTGTTCGGGAAAAGCCCAGATACAAAACCTTCCCACCTCATTTCCCCTTTCTCCTCCTCAAAGGAAGCTTGAGGTGCTTGATTAAAACTCAGATTGAGGAGGCAGCAAAAGGTACTCCATGAGGCCTCTCGAGTTCCCAGCCACAGGCAAGGAAGGGAGGTCCGAGACATCGCCCGTACCCAGAGCAGTGACAGGCTGGTGGGGTGGGGGGCAGGGGGCCTCCAGATACCTGCTGGCTGCCAGAGACACATACCAGTAAGGAGAGTCCCGATATTGTTCGCATTAAAGAGGTGACTTGCATGGCATGCCAATTACATCTCAATAAAAATGTCATTTATCAAGGAAGGAATAAAAAGAGAGAGGAGGCCAGATACCCATGAAACAAACAACTCTAGCTATTCAAATATTTAACAGTAGTGAACCAACATCTTTGATTTACTTTGAAATACACGAAGAAAAAGATCCATTAATGTACAGATACTGGGATGTATCCATGAACAAAAAGGTGATAAAGTGAGAACAGCAAGATATTTATGGCCGAATCTAGGTAGAAAGTATGGAAGATTCCATTTTTCTGTTTGGAATTTTTCACAATAAAATGTTTCACAATAAAAAGGTGGCTATTCTCCCAAATTACCTAATTGGTTACAAAATTTAAGAAAAAGATACTAAAATAGGATACAATTTTTAAATTCCAAGACAATTATTAAATTCCCTAGTGGCGCACAGCGCTATCAAACTACCACCAGCCACTGCAGCACAAGTTCGAACCCTGGCCCTGGCCAGCCCAGGGAGCTGACCCACATGGCGCAGCAGACCTCTCCTGTCTCACCCGCTGCTCTCCTCAGCAGTGTATTTCAGTAGATCTGCCTGTTCTGCTTCCCACTCTCTCTGGTGAATCCTCTTACCACGCCCCACCCCCGCACCTCTATCCTACACCCCAATTCTTGTATGCATAAATAAATAAATCTTTAAAAAAAAAATTCCAAGGCACATACAGCAGGCCCTTTTGGATTTGGTGCCTTGGGGATGGCTGGGCTGAGCCAACACTCACCTTCAAGGCACCTGAGGAACCTCAAAAGTGAGAATGTGAGGGTCACAAAAGGTCTCTGCCAGGATTACCCTGCAGAAATCACTGAACTTGGCCCACTGAGCCTAAGCCACTAGCCAGAGAGATGCAATTTCTTTTTCCATTTAGCTGCAGTGAATCGAAAGCCCGCTGCCGTGAGACTTACCTTGAGTACAACTGAAAAATCAACATCCTTGGTTTCCTTCAAGCCAAGTGGAATCAAGGGAATCGTAAATGCCTCCCTACAAGGAACAGAGCAAAGCAGATGAGCACCCATGACTTGGCCACTCTGCACCCCACGGCCTTCCCCCAGCAGCCCAGCTCAGGCCCCAGCCCCTTTGCTCATGCTAATTCAGTTCATTCAACTTCCTTACATAAAAATGACTCTGGCCATGTCCTGATCTCTATTCTAAACCTGATCTTGGAGGGCCTCCCCGGTGGCGCAGCGGTTGAGCGCTGGGTTGTGAAGCTGCCCACAGCCTCTGCGGAGCAGGTTCAACCCCTAGCTGCTCCCCGGCCAAATCCCCAGTTGCTCCCCGCCACCGGAGGAGGGTCCCACATGGCACCAGACCTCTCCTGCCGCCCGCTGCTCCCCTCAGCAGTGTACTTTGGTCCTTCTGCCTGCTCTGCTCCCCGCTCTGGCTCTGGTGAGTTCTCTCACCCTCCCACGCTTCTGACTGTGTTACAGGGCAGGAAGAGGGGCAGCCCAAACCCCACAAACCTGCCTATTCTAAATGGGTTCTGCCATCCGCCGCATCAACACAAAACATATGAGACTTTAATGGGAAGGAACTTTAATACAATTAGGAAACAATACAGGAAAGGCAAAGAATCTAGTTTCTAAATCAAGCACCCAAAGTTACCCATCCCCTCGTGGGTAAAACTCCATCCAAATGGGATTGCCCCAGAGCAAGGCCCCAAAGCCTGCCACAAATCTGAAGCACCTTCCAGTGGGGACCCACAGAAAAGGGTCAGAAACAACCAGACAAGCCCAGAAGGAAAAGAGCAAAATCAAAATCAAGATAAAAGCCGCCATTGTCACCTTCCCACGGGCCTCACATCTGTGTCACCCCATCCACGACCAAAAGACAAGCGCAATTTCTTCACGTGTCTCTAGGCTCCATGCGCCTCCTCCAGGTCTCCTTCTGGCTCCATCCTGCTTCCTTTCTCAGTCTCCTCTGCAGCTTCTCCTCTCCCTTCTCAGCTCCAACCTCCCTTGTGTGGGGCAGGGAACCTCCCCCTTTCCTGGGGACCACCCTGTTACAACTGTACCCAGTGCTTGTATAAATAAATAAACAAACAAACAAATAAATAAATCTTTAAAAAATAAAAATAAAAAAAATAAAAATGATCTTGGCTCCTCGTGACTTTCAGACCATGTAACATGTGAGGGGCCCTAGCTCTACCCTGATTCACCCCTCCAAACGCAGCCCTTCTTTCTAGCTGTGCAAGAGAACAGCTGGGCCCCCTGCTCCCCAACATGACACACCACTCTCCTCCCCTGCTGCAGCCCCCGCCCCTGGGCTCTCAGGCCCACCTCCCCTGGGCATGCCCCGCTAGGTTTCCCATCACCTGTATGGGGAAGGTCTGGAAGGGATTCCATCTGACACCTAAGCATACCTCAATTACAGGCCCCGGTCAGGCCCAGGCCAGTTGCTTCCTTTCTACTTCCCCTCGCCCCAGTGACCACTTTGTTACCCCTTAGGGCGCCCTGGGAGTGCTCTGCCTTGGGAGTGCTCCAGCACCTACATTCAGGGCCAACAGGAAATGAATGGGTTGCAGGCTGTGTTTTGCAAACAAGGATTTAGCTCCCTGACCTGTAACAGGAGACCTCCTTGGGCTGCTCAGTCCAGCCAGGGAGGAGGTCAGGAATGCTGGGCAGGGTGAGTGGACAATGCAGCTGTAAACTGAAACTGCCTTTGTGGCAGGCAGAAAACAACGGGGCTGTGCTAAAAGCAGAGACCCAACTGGGAGAGGGCCTGACCGGTGGCTGGTGGGAGATGGGGGTGGCGGGAGATGGGGATAAGCCCCATCTGTCTCCCCCAGATCCCAGTGCCCTCCTGTCCTCATGCCACACAGCGTGGCAAGGTCTGCTTCCTCTGACTGTCCAGAGCAGGGAGGGCCGAGGACCCCTCACCAGTGCACCCAGGTCCAGTGTCGAGCTCCAGCCCCACTGCGTTTTCTCATCTGCATGAGGCTGCTCTTCCCTGCCGACCTTGAAGTGTCTACAGTTCAAATCAGCGGTGCTAGGAAAGAAGCTTGAACAATCTGCTTTGAATACAGGAAGGGGGGCGGGGGTTTGGATGCGTAAGTGTCCTTACAAATCTGGACAGTCGGTCACTTTGTAGCAGGGTGGTCCCCAGGAAAGGGGGAGGTTCCCTGCCCCACCCAAGGGAGGGTGGAGCTGAGCAGGAAGAAGAGAAGCTGCAGAAGAGACTGAGGAAGGAAGCAGGATGGAGCCAGGAGACCTGGAGGAGGCACATGGAGCCTAGAGACATGTGAAGAAACTGCACTTGTCTTTTGGTCGTGGACTGGGTGACACAGATGTGGGTGAGACCCGTGGGGAGGTGACAATGGCAGCTTTTATCTTGATGTTGATTTTGCTCTTTTCCTTCAGGGCTTGTCCGGTTGTTTGTGACCCTTTTCTGTGGGTCCCCACTGGAAGATGCTTTAGACTTGGGGCAGGCCTTGGGGCCTTGCTCTGGGCCAGTCCCATTTGGATGGACTTTTACCCACGAGGGGATGGGTAACTTTGGGTGCTTGATTTAGAAACTAGACTCTTTGCCTTACCTGTATTGCTTCCTAGTTTTATTAAAGTTCCTTTTCATTAAAGTCTCCTATGTTTTGTGTTGATGCGGCGGATGGCAGAACCCATTTAGAATAGGCAGGTTTGCGGGGTTTTGGGCTGCCCCTCTCCCTGTCCTATAACAACTTCAGAGCCACGGCCTGCAACTCTGAGTTTCGGGGCAGCAAGTGGGAGTACGAAACTGCCTGCGTTTATCACCTAAGACAGGCCCTGCCCCACTTCCTTGAGGACCTTTGAACTTTAGGGCAAAACACTGCCATTAAATATCAAAGTGTAAAAAATGGGGAGAAGCCTTCACTGGTTGTTCTGACCAGGTGTTCAAAACCACCCCGGGAGCCCAAGTGGATCTGAACCAGAGGGCGCAGATGTCAAGGGGGAGAGCAGAAGGTTCCTTTTTTTTTTTTTTTAAAGATTTAATTTATTTATACAAGCACTGGGTACAGTCACAAGTGCGGGAGGGTGAGAGAATTCACCAGAGCCAGAACAGGGAGAAGAACAGGCAGACGGACAAAACACACTGCTGGGGGGAGCAGCGGGCAGCAGGACAGGTCGGCGCGCCATGTGGGACCCTCACTGGCGGCCAGGGATTGAGCCAGCGCTGCAGGGGCTGCGGGCAGCCTCGCAGCCCAGTGCTCAACCACTACACCACTGGGGAGGCCCCCCCCCACCTCCCCCACCCTACCACCCCCCAGAGCAGAAGTTTCATGCTCAAACATTCTCCCCCTGGCTCTGGAAAGCGCTGGGGGCCCCGAGCACAGCCCTGGGGACAACGGGGGGAGCGAACACATTCCAAGGGTAACTCAGGTCTCCCAAAAGTCTTCCTTCTGTTAATCCAGGCAACTATTTTCTGACTGGGTTTCCCCTGGGGCTCACCTACATTTTGAAAAGTCTCACTTCCCCACACAGTTTCTCTGGAGCTTCTCAGAGTTATTTCCTCTTACAGGCAGAGGTTTCTTTCAAAGGCAACTCACCTTGCAGTGAGAGACATTCTGAGCTTTCCTAAAGGCCACACCTCAATTTATTACTACCCACAGACACTCCCTAAGGGATGCTTCTTAACTAGAACATTTGTTTCTCAAATATTGCACAGGCTACACTTCCCATGTCTCAGCTGCACCATCTCCTCGGGAATGTGCATGGGTTCCTTCCTCTTTGATGTAAAAGATTTGAAAAGTCTATAAGCAGGATGACGCAGAGTCAGGGGTAGTGTGGTAGAAGGGGAGAAGGCAGGGCAACTTGGGCCCTGCCTGGCTGGTGGGCTCTCAAATCAAAGTGCAGAAGTACTCTGGGCAGCTTGATGGTGGCCACCGCTCAGCCCAGGTGAGAGGTGCCATCTCCCCTCCTGGACCCCAGCACAAGGCTCTCCTGTAAATTATGTCCCACTTCCAGTAATAAGAAACTCTAGGCATTTCCCAGCAAACTCCAGGTTCATCCCTTTAACTCTTGCGCCTCAGTGAAATCCAGACCTGATCATTCCATTGCTTCTCAAATTGGGGTCCACCCCACCCTTGGGTCCATCTGTATGCCGCCCACTTACTCTGTGCTCTGATAAACTCCCACCGAGATGTTCAGTCCTTCCAGTTCTTCCTTGAGGATCTGCAGGTCTGAGTTCAGAAAGCTTAGTTCTAGGCGTACCTGTTCTCGTACCTTCTGGTTTGTGGCCACTCTGTTAAAAGAGAGAAGAGAATTATTCTCAGCCAAGTACTCCAGATGATGGGTGAGCAGACCCCCTGGTCTCCACAGTGAAGCTCTGAAGGTCTACTTGCAGATGAAACTATTAATAAGGTGTCTCAAGGAAGTTGGGTACCTGCCCCAACTTGAGCTACACCTGCCAGTGTATGTCTACACCTGGGGCACAGAGAGCAACACTGAGCTGCCAACATGAATCCTAAGATATCCCCGTAAAGACCCAGAGGAAAGAGGATTACTACCAATTGGGAGTAATCCTTCCCAGCTCATTCTAGTACATAAGTAGGGACAAGTTAAAGTTAGAAAAATACCAGAAAAATATCCTAAGAAAACAAAATAGGCCAATATTCTTCATGAATATATATACACATACACACACACGCGCGCAAAACTATCAAAAATACTAGCAACTTGAATCTAGAATCACATAAAAAGTATTATGACTATGTAGAATTTATCAAGGAATAATGCAAGGGTGGTTTAAACTCAAATTTAACTAATTTAACATATTATTTTATTAGATATAGGGTAATGACAGTTATTGAAATAGATCCACCAAAATAAAGCATGTGATAAAGTCCAAAACAGACATGATAAAAATTCAATCAACTGGGAATAAGAGAATTTACAAAACTTGACAAAGGGCATCTATGAAAATCCACAGCTAACATCACAATTAGTGGTGAAAGACTGATTGATGCTACTCTCCTTATGATCAGGAATAAAGCAAAGATGCCCAGTTTTTTTTTGTTTTAAAAGATTTATTTATTTATTTATTTATACAAGCACTGGGTATAGTCAGAAGCACAGGAGAGTGAGAGAATTCACCAGAGCCAGAGCGGGGAACAGAACAGGCAGAAGGACCGAAGTACACTGCAGAGGGGAGCAGCAGGCGGCAGGAGAGGTCTGTGTACCACCTGGGACCCTCGCCCAGTGACTGGGGATCGAACCGGCGCTGCAAAGGCTGCGGGCAGCTTCGCAGCCCAGTGCTCAACCGCTGCACCATCGGGGAGGCCCTTGACACTTCTAATCAACACGGTGCTGGAGATTCAAGCCAGTGTCAATAAAGTAAATAAAGAAATTAAAGGCATTCCAATTAGAAAGGAAGACATAAAATGTCTTATGCACACATGACATCATCATGGTATGTTGAAAATCCCAAAGCATCTATAAAATAAATTCTAGAACTAAGAAACTTAGGTCACAGGACATAATTCAATATACAAAAATCAATTTTATTTCTATTTACTATCAATAAGCAATCTTAAAATTAAGAAAAATTTCATTCACATTAATATAAAAAATAAAGCAACCAAGGATAAATTTAACAAGAGAGACTAAGACTTATACACTGAAAATCAAAAAACACTGCTACCCTATTCAATGGCGACATTATGGACTGGAAGACTCACTATTGCCTATGGACAATTTCTCCAACAGATTGATCAACTAACTCAATGCAATTCCAATCAAAATTCCAGTAAACTTTTTAGTAGAAACTGACAAGCTGATCCTTAAACTTTTATAGAAATGCAAAGAACCAAGAATAATAGCCAAATAATTTTGAAAAAGAACAAAGTTGGAACAGTACCACTATCCCATTTAAAATCTTACTATAAAGTCATGGTAATCAAGGCAAGATGGTAATGGTATCAGGGTAAGCAAGAGAACAGAGCAGAGTCCAGAAACATCTTACAGTGATTTGATTTTTGATTTTTTTTAGATTTATTTTATTTATTTATGCATACAAGAGCTGGGGTGTAGGCCAGAGGTATGGGGTATAAGAGGATTCACCAGAGACAGAGTGGGGAACAAAATAGGCAGACTGACTGAAATTCACTGCTGAGGGGAGCAGCAGGCGAGACAGGAGAGGTCTGCTGCACCATGTGGGTTAGGTTAGCTCCCTGACTGTGGGATTGAACTCATGCTACAGTCTGTCAATAACTTCATAGCGCTGAGATTCAACTCCTTGCGCCACCAGGGATGCCTGGTGAATTGATTTTGACAAAGATGACAACTCCAGGGGGGAAAAACAGTCTTTCCAACAAATGGTGCTGAGGCAACTGGACACCCATAAGCATGTCAGTATCCACAAGACCCAGGTTCAGAGACTTGCTGGGAGGACTTGAGGACTCAGTACATAACCATACTCATGACTATGACATATAACAGTGAGAGGACCCAAGGGTACATGGGGTGAGGTCTGGAGGACACAGCACAGACTGCTAAGAGTCCTCTGCAGGAGAGTCACCCAGGATGGCTTACTTCCTTCTGGCAAGAGTTATGACTGGCAAAAGGACTGTGGAATGCTCTCTGCCAAGGCAGCTCATTAGAGACACAGGCCTGGGGCTTTCCTCCAGCCTGGTTATGCTGGCCTCTCTGCCTAGCAAGTTCCACATTTCCAAACGCCCACAAGGAAAGCAGGGGTTCTGAATAAACTACAGTTTTTACAATGTAAGCGAGAGAGCCAACTTATCAATTCTGGGAATGGTGGGGACTCCTGAAATCCAAGTTTCCAGAATTTACCTTCAAGGGCTAACCTCGCAAGCAGACCTTTCAAAGCACAGTCCCTAAGGACTGCTGTGATAACTTTTTTCCGCACAACAGTTAAAAATAAACCTCCATCTAGACTTCTTGCCATACACAGCCATTAAGTCAAAATGCACCAGAGACCTCAATATTAGAAGGAAGCACAGGAGCAAATCTTCAGGACCTTAGAGCGGGGAAAAATATTCTTAACTACACACACAAAAGTGCAATCCATTAAAAAAGAAATTGATCAATTCTGTCAACTTTTAAAACTTCTGTCCTTTAAAAAACATTCTTTTAAAAAATAGAAAGATAAACCATAGGGCCTCCCCGGTGGCACAGCGGCTGAGTGCTGGGCTGTGAAGCTGCCTGCAGCCTCTGCAGCCCCAGTTCGATCCCCGGCCGCCGGCAAGGGTCCCACATGGCACGCAGACCTCTCCTGCCGCCCGCTGCTCCCCTCAGCAGTGTACTTCGGTCCTTCTGCCAGCTCTGCTCCCTGCTCTGGCTCTGGTGAATTCTCTCACCCTCCCGCGCTTCTGTCTATACCCAGTGCTTGTATGAATAAATAAATAAATCTTAAAAAAAAAAAAAGAAAGAAAGAAAGATAAACCATAGTCTGGATGCATTTAAAAATTATATATCTGATAAAAAATTTCTACCTAGAGCATAGTTATGTAAAATAACAAAAAGACATTTCGTTGTGGAAATGGGCAAAGATATGAATAGACATCTTACTAAAGAAGATACATTAGATACATTAGGGCCTCCCTGGTGGTGCAGCGGTTGAGCGCTGGGTTGCGAAGCTGCCCACAGCCTCTGCAGCGCTGGTTCGATCCCCGGTCACCGGGCGAGGGTCCCACATGGCACGCAGACCTCTCCTGCCACCCACTGCTCCCCTCAGCAGTGTACTTCATCACTCTGCCTGTTCTACTCTCCGCTCTGGCTCTGGTGAACTCTCTCACTCTCCTGCGCTTCTGACTGTACCCAGTGCTTGTATAAATAAATAAATAAATCTTTAAAAAAAAAAAAAGAAGATACATTAGGGCCTCCCTGGAGGCACAAGGGGTTAAGATGCAACCTATTAAGCTATTCGCAGCCATTGCAGCACAAGTTCAATCCCTGGCCAGAGAGCTACCCACATGGAGCAGCAGACCTCTCCTGACTCACCCACTGCTCCCCTCAGCAGTGTATCAGTCAATCTGCCTATTCTTTTCCCCACTCTGTCTCTGATGAATCCTCTCACCCACACACCTCTGGCCTGTACCCCAGTTCTTGTATGCATAAATAAATAAATCTTTAAAAAAAAAAAAAAGATACATTAATAGCAACAAGCTCATGAAAAGATGGTCAATATCATTGGTGAATAGGGAAATGCAAATTAAAGCCATAAGGAGATAGCAGTACACACCAAATAGCTCGACTACATAAGAAAGACAAACAATAGACCTCCCTGGTGGCACAAGGGGTTAAGTCTCAGCACTATCAAGCTATCGGCAGCCACTGCAACACAAATTCAATCCCCAGCCAGGGAGCTACCCACATGGCACAGCAGACCTTCCTGTCTTGCCCACTGCTCCCCTCAGCAGTGTATTTCAGTCAGTCTGCCTGTTCGGCTCCCCACTCTGTCTATGGTGAATCCTCTCACCCCCCACACCTCTGGCCTACACCCCATATCTTCTACACAAAACACACACACACGACTGATTCACTAGTTGATAATGTCCACAAGGATGTGAGAGAAAATTCTTCCAGCCTTCAGTACTGAAAATGACTTCAGAGCCAGTGTTTTGCTTTTCTCTAGCGGATATAAAATGTGCTTTAGCACACATTGCCTTCTTCACCTAGCAGGAAGCTCAGAGACAAACTGTGGTCCATGTCTAACAGCATATGCAGGACTCTGCAGCATGTACTGGCCTTCCTTTCAGCTAAATCTCCTTTATTCTTCATTCACTCCTGTTTTAACTTTATCTGTTTCACACATGGGTTAAGGTGCCATGAAGCCATTTCAGAATGAGGCAAGATAAATAATTTATTTCTTCCTATTTTTTTTTTCTGTAACCTGGCATCTTTCTTTCCTACATGGTCAGGAGCTAAACAAATATCAGTAGCTAGAAGAACAAATGATGGAGTAAAGTCGGTGAGAGGCAGGGTGGGGGTAGCCTGCCTGCTCTGGGCAGCAGAACGGCTCCATTTAAATGCAACAGTTTAGACCCTAAAGCCTTTCCAAAACCTGGAGAGCCTCCATATATGCCAACTCTTGATGTTTCCACTTCTATATGCTATTTGCCAAGTCCCTCTGACTTGGCAACAATTCGAGATTTAGAATTTGCGATAAATTAAAGGGCTGCTCTTTGGATGTGGACCTCTGTGTGGGTCACTCGGGCAGGGCCTCAGGATTGGTTTCCACAATGCTGGCCACTGGGTATCTGGTGACTAGAAATCAACCTA